ATATTTCTCAAATTGCATCAATTAAACGACATTTTAATACACTCAGCTTAATGTGTAGTGTGTATTTTTTTCTGGGGATGTATTGAGAAAAAACGTTACCCTTTTGAAATATTATTGAGGATGCTGGGTGCAATGTTGATGTCGTTAATTCAATCAATCCTGTGGCAGGACCAGGCGGGGCCAGGACACAAATGCTATTAATTTTGTGTCCAATACAAGCGCGAATGAGAGAGGGCCCACCATATAACACGGGTCTATAAATTCATTTATAACTTTGATACGGTCGATGCCAAATGGCCTCACAATGTTTGTCCGAGTCAAATCCACTTTCACTTGACACATAAATTGAGTTAAAAGGAAAATGCCAAATTGAATTTTATTTACGTTGAACATTCACGCTCGATTTCACACACACAAAACTCAAACCGAAACAAATCCCCGCAAAAAAAACACACACAAAACCAAAAAAAAAACAAATCAAAAAAGGAAAAACGAAATCTGGAATAGTGAAAAGTCCTTTAGCCTCCTGCCCACCCTTCGATAAGCACACGTGTTTGTGTCTGTGTGTCTTTGGTGGGAGATCCTTAAAGTCAGCAAAATGAAATTTACATGGAAAGCCCCAGCCCCAACCAGCCGGAAAATCTCATTGTTATGCCAAGACATTGTCGTCATCAAATTATGGCCATGTAAAAATAGTTGCCATCCTCGGCCATATTGTTCGGCATTATGTAAATCGCTTCGCTTTCTATGAACTCGCACAAGCGACACGCATTTAATTGCAGGACGAAGAAGGATGCGGATCCGGATGCGGATGGATGGTGAGTTTATGACAGACATTACACGAGTGTTAACGATGACAATGAGCGGCCAGGACTCTAGGTCCTAGCACTGCCACGTGAGTCCTTCCGGACGTGAGCTGAGTCCCTCTTCGGAGGACTCATTATAATTCGTCTGGTGTTTTGCTATTTTTATAGACACTTGCCACTCTGGGGCAACTCGCGCGCCACTCACGGCTCAGAGCTCAGGGCTCACGGCTCACGGCCCTCGACACTCGGCACTTCATAAATAATCAGATTTCTAAAGATGAATCAGTGGCGGAGCACTGTCGGTGGGTTTGTTGAACCCAAACCAATCTCCTGACATTTGCGATGTCTTCAAGGAAAAGTTTCCACTCCATCCGCAGGATCTTCCCCATCCACACGTCTGTCATGCCTATTTTTGTATATTCATATCCGAAAATTGTATTCATCCTTATGCGATACAAAGCCGAGGGGAGCCTGACAAATCCATGGGTAGTTTTCAATTGCCTGCCATTTCAATTTATTTTCTTGTTTTCCTCCTTGTTGTTTTTTTTGGTAGAATATTGACATTAGGCGGCATCTCTGTTTCGGCTCGACTCCTTAAATAGAACATGCTGTCAGCCAAAGTAACACGTTTGCCTTTTTCAACGGGTTATGGGTGTGTCTCTTGAATATTAGCAACTTTAAATGTTTTCTTACATATCCTTTTTTTTCTATCAGAATATTAGAATATTGTTTGTTTTATATTGCAGTATAATACCTATGTACATCTATATACAAACACCACAAATAAACATGAAACGTGTTCTTCTTATTTCAGCCATTTTTCAACTGATTGGAAAAACAATACGATTTATAAAATTTTTAAGATAAATTCCCATGAATCCGCATCAAAATATGGAAAACAGGACCCCTTAAATTTGATTAAAAAAAAATCATTCGTCAAATAGCCTTTAATTATATATTGTTTAATGTATTCACATGACAGAAAGATACCTATGTTCTAGTGAATCTAGAGATTCTTTAGATACTACTTCAGAAAAAGTGCAGCAGGGGGGAACGAATACTGTTGGTTTTTGTCTCGATAATTTCATGGAAGGGAAATCTGAAGTCAAAGAAGGTCCTGATAGCTAAAGCTCCTCGTAGAAATAAGACTCAGTAATATGAACCTGTTAGACCTTCTTAGAACCCATGAAACTCCTTCAACGATGATCTGATACCTCTTCTCAAAATATAGACAACATGCCAACTGTTTAGAAACTATTAGTGCCATGTTTTAGTCGTATGACAACTAAATTCTCCACTAAACCCATATTCTCATTAAGTTTATAGACGATCGTTTGCATTTTGAAGCCACGAATGCTTTGTTGCCCCAAATCCAGATATTTCTGAGAACATTTTGGCAGAAACATCTCTTGCTGAATGTTTGTCAGGGTACGGCCACGCCTCCTCCTCCTCATATCGCCTCTCTGAATGCTTCTTTGTTTGGTTCGCTTGTCTGGTATTTTGTTGTTATTTTTGTCATTTTAAGTGCTTTGCCAAATGCACACGATTCGCTGCAGGCGCATCACGAACGAGCCACACACACACATCGGCAGCACTTGTGGCAGCTGCGTGCCTGAAACGCAGGGGGCAGGGGCATGTCCTGGTCCGCGGGCCCGGAAGCTGTTGAGCGTGCGAAAGCAGGAGGGACGCAGGGGGCCCAGGGGCGGGGTTCGCGACCTACAGCAAACATTGGCCAAAAAACACCAAAACGCGCCGACCAACTTTCGGCCGCCTTTGGCTGCACTGCAAAATCAGTTTTAGGATATACGCAGGGGAGGTACGTCTGTCCTCCTCCTGCCAGGACTTAACCAAAATAGGCACGAACCAAAAATGAAGCAAAACATTTTTTTGGTAAAGGAAATACTCAAAAAAGCATTGCGGCTTAGCCGGGAACAACAACCAAACCAAAAAAAACGCACCCGGCTACTGCTCTTTTATTTGCTTAAATTTGTTTAGCAAGTTTTGCCGTTTTTTGCGGCCACTTTTCTCATTCACTTCCTTTTTTTATCCACTTTTTTTTTTTTTGGAGGAGAGGCGAAAAAGTTTGAAGTGGCGCTTCCATGGGATGGCATGGTGGAGAATGCCAATGATGAAGTTATCGACGGTGATGATGATGGGAAATTGGTTTCGCAGCTGCCGCAGCTGCTGCAACAACCGTCTGAGAATTTCCCTTTAGCGAGTTTTCTTTTGAGCATTTAGGTGGAAAATTCCATACTTTAGGGAGCGAAAAATCACTCATTCGCAGCGTTGCCAGACGCAGATGTTGTTATATGCCATTTAAATGTGTTTCTTTTTGTTACTTTTTTTCTTTCAGTTTTTTTTTTGTTGCAAGCGACAAACAATAAAATACAAATTTGCTACTTTATTTTACAGCCAACGCATAAAGAAAAACAACAAACGGAAAACATTTTCCATGACCTCATGTGGTGAACCCAGACGAGGACTCACAGTCAGAAGCACATCTATGGGGGACTGTGGGCTTGGATTTTTTTGGAAGGGAATGGTACTGGTAGGGAATGGTACTTTAAGTAGGTCGCAACAAAATAAAAAAGTTTGTTTGCCAGAGCTCTCCATTCGAGAATTCGCATAAAACAAGGGTTCGACGGCCCGGGATACCCTGGAAGGGAGCGGGCCGGATAATCCCAAGAATTGACTGAAAATTATGTGAAAATAGGCACAGGATTAAAGCCGGATGCTTTGGGTAAAGAAAATGGGCTTTTAGAAAATTTATAGAAATGTGGGTAAATAAAACAGAATAATATCCAACTTATTCCAGGAAAGGTATTCTAGATTTCGGAGAAAACTTTGATGTTTGACTTTTTTTTTATAAAAGAAAAATGTAGAAACATGTTCCTTAACATCTAAAAACTGTTCAACTATTTCAATTAAATGAGGAATAGGCTTCTCACATCCTCGGGAAACAAATATTTCAATGGGAAATTAAATTGATTTAATTGATAGGTAGGGAAATAGAGGAATTTATGAGAAATTCCAATTAGCAGACAAGGACAATGCAAAAATATTTTTTAGACTTTTGATTTTTTATGATTTGGTTTTTTGATAAAAATAAATACATTTTTGTTAATAAAAGCTTTGAATTTCATGCCTCAGTTTCCCGTCTGTAAACTTGCAATTCAAATTTTATAACCAACTCCAAACTCAATACAATATACCCAATTTTTGTTGCTGCCAGCTGCGCATTATTTCTGCCATCCCCTCAGAGGATCTGCCCCCTTCTTTCCGACCAGTTGTCGTCAACATCAAATTCCCTGTTGATTTGAATTTAAAAGTAATTTTTTCTCTTCTTTCTCTGCTTTATTTTTTAGTTGCCATATTCGCAAATATTTGCTGTCGTTGCCGTCGAGACAACATGGCGTATGCTTAATATTTCGATTTAACTTTATTTTTAGCTTGTTGCACATTATTTTGCGCCATTTTTCTTTAGTTTTATCTATTTTTTATTGTTATATTTGTGCAGCTCACAAATTGAATTTGTCACATCGGGCTTTAGGGTTTGGGAATCGCTTAAATTGTTGCCGTTGCCGCGGAAAATGGAAAACTCGAATTGATATGCAAAATATTTTTGTGCACATATGCACTGGCTGATAAAAATGCGAAGCGCTAATAAATTAAATGCAAATTGTCGACGGACCGTCGCTTTAAGCCAAAACGGAATTTATTTGCTTAAATTGCGGCAGTTTTCGTGGCGGGCGGGTAGGATGCCTGAAAGTGAATTGAATTGAAGTTACTTTGTGGTTGGCCGAAGAGGAGGAGCTACAAGCCGGGGCTGGGAGTAAAAAGTTGTGGCCAAAGTGGTTACAAATCAAATCAAAAGACCCAGGCAGATGAACGCTGGGCAGAGGGGAAAGGGAATCATGAGGGGGGAAAAGCTGCCGACTGAGTTATAAATTCATTTGGCCTGCAAGGAAAAGGAGCCACAACAGCCACAAGACTTCGTCTTACACCCAAAAAAATTAAAGTTTACAAACATTATTTTTCCTAAAAATGATATATTAGAGTTTCTTTTTAAAGAGATAAGATTCTTAATTTAAAAATTCTGTCTTGTTGAGCATTTTTAAGGCTCATCTATAGATTCCATTTCTTAATCTTTAAAGACCCTTGATTTTAACCCTATTCCTTTTGTGTGCTTTGCAGGACTTTTGGTCGCGGCTGCTGCCAACAGACAACCGGATGACTCCAGTGTTGGGCCAACCCTGTCGACATTTTTGTCATCATCTGAATCAGAATCAGACTCACTATCGCCACCGTCATCGTCATCGTCATCGTCCTCGTCGTTGTCCTTTGCGGTGGCGAACGGACCACAAACGGATGCCACGAATCACACTTTCAAGAGTTTAGCCTTCCTGGACGCGTCCTTTGGCTCGGATCTGTTTGCCCATCAAGAAAAGGAGGGAATAAGGGAGATGGAAAGGAAGAGGGAGAGGGAGAGAGAAAAGGACACGGAAACGAACTCAGACACAAACGCGGACTCGGCGCAGTCGTTGCCAATTTTTGACTTTGGCATGCCGCGCAACATCACCGGACGCACTGGCCACACGGAGGCCATAATTAAATGCCGCGTGGACAGCCTCCATGATAAATCGGTGAGTCCAAGGCGTAAAAAGGGATAGGGGAGTAAGAGAAAGGAAGCGCTAGGGTGGGTCCTTTCCGCCTCAGGGAAAAAGTGATAAAGATGCGTGCCAAGGACATCGAGTATATCATATGGATGTGCAGTCGTTAATCAAATTTCTCTGCCGCTTCGGCTCTTCAACAGGTATCCTGGATACGGAAACGTGATCTGCATATCCTGACCGTTGGAACGGCCACCTACACCACCGACAAGCGGTTCCAGGTGAGTGCTGTATTTCCCTCATGTATTCGCTTACTAATTGAAAGCGATGGTTAGGCTAAAGGGGAGTAAGTATACTCTTTCCGAAAGAGATGGAGGTCAAATTAGGACCTCAATCTAGATGAGTTTTAGGTAACACGAACATAGTTCGGGGTAATGATAATGACTCTTTCTCAGAGTGGATTGAATTGATTCTGATTAGTTCTGAAAGCATTTTCATGAGGAATAATATTAAGAGATATGTATGCTAAATACAAAATACAAATTTAATTAAAATAAAATGCACAAGAAACCTTTTCTAGATAACCAATCCAATTAGATTACAAACAAAGCACATTGAGAGCTTTTTAAAAGGCCATCTCGAAGAGCCAATGACCTGCGAATTCCATACCAATAAACCAAACTAAATCCCCGAGATCCAGCCACAGATTAGCTGGTGTAGCAAAACAAATCCCGATAAACATCGGCCACAAAATTCCACAACGGACCGCAACGGCATGTAAAAGTTAACTCTCAGGGCTCTCAGGGGGAATTATGGCCATAAGGCCACTTTCATTATGCATGCATAAACGATATTTCAATGGCTAATCCAGCTCATAACTCAGGACAAATCCACATCCACTCAGTCAGGCTCTCATCTCCATTAGCCCACTTGCACTGCATTTGGCCGGCCTGCAGGCAAACAAAGAATCATCCGACCGGCCAACCAACCAACCAAACAATTGACCAACAAACAAACAAACGGGCAAACATTCAATTGTATAATTGCTTAATTTCCATGAAAAAATAAAAACAATTGAACGAAAATATAAAATTTGCAGCATTGCAAATTGGAGCCTTAAAAGCGAATAATTATTCCACAGAGACCGACGGACACATGAATTGAAAAACTGAAATAAAAAAGAGAAAAAAACAGAAAACGTGTAAATTGAAACTGAAATTCTGTCCTGGCAGGTAACTGAATCGAAGGATTCTAGGGAATGGACTTTGCATGTGAAATCCCCACAAGCCAAGGATACTGGAATCTACGAATGTCAAGTGAATACGGAGCCCAAAATGTCCATGGCATTTCAGTTGAACATCATCGGTGAGTATCAGTCTGTGAAATCCTTAATAATATTTAACAAATTGTTGTGGTTTCAAAATCATTTCATCTCACTTACTCATATATACATTTTTGGTTTCGTTAGCCCCAATGTTTACCTGACGCTCGTGGGTTTATTAAAAATGTTAATTCAGTTTTCATCAGAAGCACCTCGCCAGGAGCCAGCAATTATGATTATTTCATCCGTTCTGTCAAGGACTCGCCACGCTTTTCTTATGCATTTTCGTTTCTGTTCGGTTTGGTTCGACAGCCTCTAGGCATACATTTTTAATTTCGCATTTCGGCCCATAAATAAATAAATAAATAAAAAGCGAAAGCAAAAGCAAGAGCGGGCTGTCGCTTCTGTTTTTTCGCCTCGGGTCCAAGCAGAGGACATGCCAAAGGACCTGGATCAGGACCAGGATGAAGCTTATATGTCGCCAGGGCGCTGAGTTAATTAGCATGTCAGGCCGTCGGGATTACGGGAACGAACCGATTGGAAATGTATTCAGCGTTTTAATGAGCCATGCATAATGTGTGTGTCCGCATATAATTAGCTCACACTGTGCCGTCCTTTATCCTGCCGCTGCCTGTTGTCAGCCAGCCATCGAAAACAATGTCTTTTGTCTGAATTAGTGACTACGAAGTCCTCCGGAAATGATTAATTGATGATGGCCTGATTACAAAATGACATAATAGTTTGCTGGCAGGTGACTGCCGATTGCAATGGGAGAAGATTCATAGAGAGGTTTCTGATTAACATGCTCGGGTTTTCTCTAGAGTCCTGAAAGTGTTCACAAGGATAGGGAAATTTTATCCCAAGAAGAGTCTATAATTTGTCTCTTAAGCTTCCAGGGATGAAAGGCCTGTCATGTTTTCTTCTCCATAATTTTCATTTACTCGCAGACTTGTTTGCCGTCAATCTCACATCTCCCCAATTCGTTTATAAAAACAATCAATTTGTTTATTGATTTAAATGGATTTCCTAAAGAAGACTTGAATTTAAGGAATAGCTATTAACATGGCAATTGTTTTGTCTTTAAATCGGAGGCCTGATAAGGTGCAAAAAAAGGCAAAAATGTAGATGAGCTGGAGTGTTGACTGGCTTTTCGTTGGCATCTGCTGTCAGGCAGGCACTTATGCAAATCAGTCGGCAATGCCTTTTTAAGTTTCCGATTATGCAGTTGGACGCGATGCATTTTTCTTTGTCCACGGCTGACAGGGAATCGGCTGGGTCCTTGTCGCCTCGCGTTTCCTGATTTCCTGCTCTGACGCTTACAAACGAATTTCCGATTACATTTTCTTCACGGCCGTATGCATTTTAATTTACGTTAATGAAACAATTTCTGAAAGGACTCGAGACAAGGAGGACAGCCGGCCGGACAGGAGAGTGGACAGGCTTGGTGACAGCACTGCGGCAGCCGGCTGGCAAACTGGCTGTGTCCTTAATAACATTATCGGCATACGTGTCGTATGAGTGACTTTCGCAAGGCGCTTAACTCATCGCTCCTGTCGCTTCCCGTATCCTGTATCCTGTGTCGTTGCTCTCGCCATCGCCATCGTCGTCGTCGTTGTTGTTTTTTTTTCTTGCATTGCATTGCATTTAATTAATGTCATTATGTAAATTTATGCGCCCCACCCAAACGATTTTATTTTCCCTTAACATTCCACAGTTTTCCTCGTTGGTTTTTTATTATTTTTTTTTTGGCTCAAAGATTTATGCCTGATATAAATTTTGCCCGGGGCGGCTATGGGTGCCATGATATATCAGGAATAAATATGCATAAGTGCCCTAAGATGACAATTTAAAAGGTTGTATTTATGCACGCATAACTCTTGAAACGTAGCCGCGTTTATATATACATACTTACCATATTTCAACAGCAATTTGTGGCACAATTGATTGTTAAATCCTTTGGAAAAATTGAGGAAAAGACTGACATTAAAAATGAGTGGGTTTCTGCCATTTGGCAGAACATTAAAGAAGAATTCTCTGAATTCGCGATTATAGCATACTTTTCTGGGCGCTTTTAAAACTAACATTTATTGCCTTGGCTCTCTTTTCATTTTTATAGCAATTACAACCATTTGACCTTAGACATTTTAAGTTTAGTAGTTTTCCCTTCACTTTTTTTAGTTTTTGGCGCAGAGGCATTGGATTTTATTTTCATGGAATATTTAAATTAAAAAACTTCATGCGCGGCCACACAAAATGCACGCAGAACTTTAGCGACAGCTGCTGAAAAATGAAGGAAAATGAAAATCTGAAATGAAATGAAAAATAGTGGGGCAAGGAAAATTGTTGCTGCAGCATCCCATCTCTTTTTTTTATATATATATGTTTCGTCCTCTCCCTTTCGCTCCCTCTGTCGGGTGTTAATTGCCTTTAACGCAGTGACACTGCACAAACACTCTCGAAAATGGCAGGGAATGGCGGAGGGTCCTGGGTCCTGCCGGGTGGAGGCGGGAAGGGCGGCTTTGGGCGGCCGAAAGGAGATACAAATACATACGCACTTAATGGCGCAGTGGGATTTTTTAACTCACCCATTCAACATATGCCACAGATGCAAACAAACAGACAGGCCAAAAAAAAAACAAAGAGTGAAAGAGATGGCAGTAGGGAGTGCGAAAGAGAAAGATGGCTAGTCAGCGAGATCCTTTTCAGACGCTTAACCCTTCGCCCGACGTCCCAGTCTCTCCCTTAGCATCCTGCCATCCATGTAATCATCATCATATGCACTTTTATGAGCTGCTTCACACATGGCCCAAAGGTACAGTGGGGCAAAATGAGTAAAAAAGACTTAAAAAATAACAGATGTTCGTATTTTGGAATGGTTTAGAAATGGATAAATTATTACTAACCCTTAAAGAAATTTATCATTTCGATATCATTTAGAATTTATCATTAAGAGTAGATTTTTAAAGGACTGCCCTCATATTCGTATTACTATCCACATTAAAATATATCATGAAAATCACTATGGAAAGTACCACTGTCCAGGAGCAGTTACAGCATAACATTTTTATTTCATTTCGCCCAGTCGTGTCTCCTGTTTTTTTGGGTATATTTTTTAATTATTATTATTTGCAGAGTCCAATGCATAATAAATATTATTATTAACCCAGTTTTCCGACCGCGTGTGTGACTTCCCATCTGCATGTGCCCAGGATTCTACGGGTCTGGGTGTATGTGTCAGTTTATTTACCCACACACATGCAAATGTCTGGTGTGATTTTCGTAGCGACCTTATGGAAAATCTCCACCTCACTGCCATTTTACGGGCTTACTTAAATTTAGTGCAATTGAAAAGTTATTCCATAAAGTTTTATGATTAAAAGTTTTTCTGTGTGCAGAACGAATTCGTTTTACGAGCGATTGCCCCAAATTGATTTTGCTCTCCTACCAACCTACCTAGGCTACATGTTTTCAATTCATTTGTGGGTTTTTCCCTTTTTTCCTCAATTTATTTTTGTTCTCGTTCCGGTTTGGATATATATTTTTTTTTGGGTATTTTTTCAGAAATCTCCCCCGATGCCAAGGCTGTTATCAGTGGGCCGCACGATTTGCATTTCAAGGCAGGCAGTGCGATTATCCTGAATTGTGTGGTGCAACAGCCGTCGGTGAAGGATATTGGACCGATTTACTGGTATCGTGGTGAACACATGATCACCCCCTTTGATGCGGACGACGGGCCGGAGCCGGTGTTACCCGCCAGGGGCAGGGACCGTTCGCCGGATGTGCCCGAGGATGTGTCGCCCAATGACATAATGAGCGAGGTGGATTTGCAGAAGGAGTTCGCCACACGCATTGCCATGGAATCGCAGCTTGGAGATACCCTCAAGTCCAGGTGGGTGATTCTCGCAGTCCCGGAAGGCCGCAGGACCTAATTGAGTTGTTTTCGAGTGCCTTACCCATTCCCATAATCCTCCGCAGGCTCCGCATCTCGAATGCCCAGACCACGGACACCGGCAACTACACGTGTCAGCCAACGACGGCCAGCAGCGCCAGTGTCCTGGTTCATGTGATTAATGGTGAGTCCGTGATATGGTCCAAGAACACTTAAAAAAAATGGAAGTGCTTTAGAGTAAGAAACTCTTCGTTTTAGATATTTTTAAAACTTTTTTAGTTTAAAAAATAGACACATTTTTTACGATTGAATATTAAAGCCATTTTATTTAAAATTTTATTTAATCTTCTTTTTTAAGTAAGCAGAAATATATATTAAAGTGTAACCTCTATCTGCCTTTCGGCTCAGGTGCTTTAGTTCCGGCATAAGCCTATCTGTTACCCTGGCAGCCCGCCAGAAGAAGTTAAATTACCAAAAGCCAAGTAAAATTTCGGAGGAGACTCCTCCTTAAATGGCATGATTCTATACAATATAGCCGGGATCTATTCATTCACAGACACGGCCTAAAAACTAAAACTTGCGCCACACTCTCGTTCCATCATTCATTCGCTTGCGTTTGTTTGTTTGTTTGGGCCGAGGAGCCTTCTTTGCCTCCGCCCACAAACTTTCGTTTGGGGCAACGCGGCGTATGAGTAATGCGGCGGATGGAAGCAAAACTCACAGACTTGGCTTTGCATATTTTACACATAAATTAGACGGGAATTAAGACATTTTAAGCTGTGAAATGAGGGGCATAAACTTGACGCGTCTTTTGTCCGGCAATTTTCCACTGGTTTTTTATGGCTCTTTATGGCAGGACATTCGCAGCAAATTGAAGTCCAAGTCCTTTTGCTCCTCGGAGTAGTCCTAGTTTTAATGCAGTATCAAATGTTAAGCGAAATGTCCAGCACTTAAGTTGTTAAGTTGTTTATTCAAATGAAATTGTTGTACGTAAAGGAATTTGCATTTTAAAGAGCAGCAAGGAGCAGCAGGACAACGACTGCTGACTACTCCTTACTCCCTACTTTTTATGGTAAAACCGTAATAAATATGATTAAATGTCAGAAGTAAGTTGCAAAAAGGCACTTAATCATGTCCCACATGTGGCACAAAGGCCGCGCGACTGTCAGGACTGGTTGGTGGGCGTGAAGGCAAGGGATCTAGGAGGCGTGGCAGGGCGGAGCTGCTGCCACTATGGGGACTGTGACTGCTTGCATAAATACAGATAATAAATCAAAGGCAATAAAATTTTAAGAAAAATGATCAGACTGAAGTGTTGGTCTAGTCAGGGAGTAATACGACTTGATAAATGCTCTGTGAAAAATAAAATAAATGCTTTAAATTTCTGTATTTTTAGAGAAGTTCACATTTGAAAAATTTAAATTTTTTTAAATTATATTTTTAGTTTGTTATATCAACTATGACTCTCCATATACCCTTTAATTCCAGAGCCTATTCCACACATAACTCATCACACACAACCCAAAAGCCTCTACTCCCTGACTCCTTAAAAATCAGTGCGTATTGGGCGGGGTACTAGGATACGGTGTCTTTTTGTGAGGAGTCAAAACAAAGCATTGACAAATGATGCGCCGGGAATAACATTTGCTCGGGCGAGAAAGGCCGCATAAATATTGCGTATACGCAGACACACATATGTCATTTATCTAGTCGGGAATAACACCGACCCTACTAGTAGAACCCCAAAAAAAAATTACTCCATCCAGAAGTCAATGGCTGGGATACACTGAAAAATATATGGCAGCTTTTCATGACTTATAGGTTTTAATTTCTTTGTTTAAAATATTCTTTAGATCCTCTTTAAATGTAAGTAATTTTTTTCACTGTGTAGTGCACAATTAAATTAAGTTATTTACCCAAGTTAAATGGGGGTAAGAGGGTCGCCATTCTATTCTGGGACAAATTTGAATTCACATGCTCATTATAGCTCGTTGTTTGTTTGTCCTTTCCATTTTCCGCAGACGAGAATCCAGCTGCGATGCAGAAAAGCGGGGCGTTTTCCCAGGATCCGCGCCAGCTGGTACCGGCCCTACTGTCGCTGATGCTACTGATGCTCCTGACACCGCCAATGCTGGAGGAGTTGCTGCTATGAGCGGTATTGACTGTTTAGCAACTGAAACTCGAAAGTTGTCACAGAAGCAGAAAATTATGTTCCATGACTTTGGCATTTTCTCGGTGCCCTCCTGCCCCGATGAGAGATGGTTTTCTGTGTTAGAAGAGCTCTGGAAAAAACTGTGGAAAATAGAAGGCAAATGTTAAAGGCAAACATGCTCGCCGGCGAGGCAAGTCGAGGCGAGCAAGGCGAGTGTTTGTTTCCCTTTTTTAATATTTACATTTCATTGTGCAAAATGAGACACTGAGCCGGGCAATGCAATGCCAAATGTAAAATGTAAAATGCAAGAGCCGGAGGAAGGACACGAAAAAGGACACAGAAGCAGAAGGATGACACTCTTTGTAAATACCACAAGGATGCGGCACAGCTACATATACATATATACTATATATACCATTTGGATACTTACGTATATATACATATAAAACAGTGTGTAGTTTATTTTATTTCATTATTGTGGCTTCTGACAAAGGAGCCGCCCCACACGCATCGACTTTATAAACATTTCATGCTGTCTTAACAGAGAGCCAAGCTAACCAAAAAAAAAAAAAAAAAAATTAAAAGGAAAAGTAAATCAGAATAATATAAAACGAAATGAGAGCTGCACACTGACACACATAAGTATGCAATCACACACACACATCTTAAACAGCACAGGGAGAAAATTATGCAATAAGTTAAATATTTTCGCCCCCTTAATATTCCTTGTCTTTTTTCTCTGTGCAATCCACTACCAAAAAACCCAAAAAATTGTAATATATATATAACACACCCAAAAAGCTCTCATCTGATCAACTAAAAGCGGAAAAACCCAACTTAATTATAAATACTAACTTGTATGGAATTTATTTATGGGCAAAAATGAAATTTAGTCACGCCGTGCTGGCAGAGCATATGGAAAATTGAATCGAATCAAATAAAAGCGAAATGTGAGTTGCGAAATGAAATGAAATCAATTGCATATTCCAGCATGCTCGACTAAGTTTTCACTGTTTTTGTCCATGAATTTGTGTAGCGAGGTATTACTATGGGTAGGCATGAATTTACTACACGTAAGCCAGTAAGAAGATTTTAGATAATTTATGTGATGACAAAGCAAAATGAATAAATCAATGGAAATGGAATTCTTTCAAATAATAAAACCAAAATCGAAACTATGAACTCAACTGAATTTCATTCTTGCGGTCTGACCAAAAATGGTAATAGTGGCAAAAGTTGTATAATACTTTTCAGAATGTCGGTAAGTACTTCTAACAAAGTGAACAGTTTTCGTGTCGAGTTCTAAAACTCAATTAGTGGCGGAAATTGCTTACGCCCGAGTGCATCCAAAAAGCAGGAAAATACGGAAAATAATTTACAATTTATGATTGCTTTACACTATTTATACAAATATTTTTTCATGCCTTAAATACTTAAATTTCCCGCATCTTCTTCGCAAATTATAATTGATATTTTCCGCTGCTCTCTTAAACCAAACAAAAATATTATTATACCAGAGACCTCAAGATGGCGCCATAAAAACGCCATTACTGTCTCCACCAGAACAGCCCTCCATCCTCCCACGCCGAGGAGTGACCCAATTAATGCCCCCATAGCCGCAAGTGTTTTTCATTAGTTGGAATCCAGAACACAGAGATCATCGCAATATTTAAATGAAACAATTACGCCGGGGATATGGGCACCACTTGTTGCTGATTCGTTTACAGGCAATTTAATGTCCATTCCAGTTGGAGGTTTTAATTTAAACAAACAATGACAAGGACGAGGGACCAAACAGGACATGGGCAAATCCGATTCGGTATATCAATCATACGCCGCGTAGGCTTACAGAAATGTCTTCAGCAGTGTGATATATGAGCCGGTTGTGCTGAGTATCTGTGGAAAAGTGGAAACAAAAACATAAACATTTATTATCACATATATTTTAGATATACAATCCATTTCCATTACCGAACCGAAAGCTGGCAAAGAGGGTGTAAAAAACGGCACCGCAATTGTTTTTGCCCGTTGCGAGCGCCGCAATATCATTAAAATCATTTTTCTAGTCCTCGCATCGCATTTGTACCACTCAGTGTCGTACAGCACGTCCGCCACAGCCGAGCTCTGGAAAAAAATGTCCAACAGCAAACACAACGACAAAATGAAAGTAAAAGTGGTTATGGAATCGGATCTGCCGCCCCTTTGTTGTGTAATTAAAATTTTATCACAAGTGCAATTTGTGTAAGGCACATCATTTTTTATGTGGCCGCCTGGCTGCTTAATGTTTAGCGCCAAATTGAAATTACCGGAATTGCAAAAAAAAGGAAACTTATTCAGTAAATGAAAATGGGTGAAAAGATTTTGTAGCAAGAATAAACCAGATACCCTGATCTGATAAAATAAAGAAGAATTAAGAATGGTATAAATTAAAATCAAAATATAATATTAGTATCTATTTGATATTTATGAAAAACACATTTTAATATAATTGGTTTTATGATAAAACTTTCGTTATGTAGAATATGTATTAGGAAATAAATACTTTAAATTCCAAACCCGTAATAACATTGGTACTTACACTCTCACTAACGTGATTACCTCCAAAGCAGTATAGGAAGAGCTGCGTCAGGGCGGCGATGATATAGCAGATGTAGGTTAAGCCACTCAGGGACGACGTGTTCTTTAGATATAAGCAGAGATATAAATAAAACATGAAAGGAAAGTTGCTATACCCATGCGATTAGTAGGCCGATCCCTATTAGAATTTTATTATAAAACCAATTTATTAGAATACAAAAATTTTAAAAATCTATCTTCAAAAATACTAAAGTTGGTAATTCTACCAAATGTTTCCAATTGTTCAGTTATAGGATATAGTCCCCTATATGGCCCACAGTGATGGCTATATCTTCCCCAATTCTCATCCGATTCTCAAGCGGAGTACCTTTAACGATTTTTGGATCGATTTCCCACCGATCTGCAAAATCCTGAGACAAAATATTTTTCCGATTTTTTGTCAATTTTTGTGATGGGATCCCTTGAAAATGGGGTTTTCCCGTATAGGTTCCACGGTGATGGCTATATCTTCCCCAATTCTCATCTGATTCTCAAGCGGAGTACCTTTAACGATTTTTGGATCGATTTCCCACCGATCTGCATCAAAATCCTGAGACAAAATATTTTTCCGATTTTTTGTCCATTTTTCATGATGGGATCCCTCGAAAATGGGGTTTTCCAGTATAGGTTCCACGGTGATGGCTATATCTTCCCCAATTCTCATCTGATTCTCAAGCGGAGTACCTTAAACGATTTGTGGATCGATTTCCCACCGATCTGCATCAAAATCCTGAGACAACATATTTTTCCGATTTTTTGTCAATTTTTGTGATGGGATCCCTTGAAAATGGGGTTTTCCCGTATAGGTTCCACGGTGATGGCTATATCTTCCCCAATTCTCATCCGATTCTCAAGCGGAGTACCTTTAACGATTTTTGGATCGATTTCCCACCGATCTGCATCAAAATCCTGAGACAACATATTTTTCCGATTTTTTGTCAATTTTTGTGATGGGATCCCTTGAAAATGAGGTTTTCCCTATATGGCCCACAGTGATGGCTATATCTTTTCCAATTCTCTTCTGATTCTCAAGCGGAGTACCTTAAACGATTTGTGGATCGATTTCCCACCGTTCTGCATCAAAATCCTAAGACAAATATTTTTCAGATTTTTTGTCCATTTTTGTGATGAAAATGGGGTTTTCCCCTATAGGTTCCACGGTGATGGCTATATCTTCCCCAATTCTCATCCGATTCTCAAGCGGAGTACCTTTAACGATTTTTGGATCGATTTCCCACCGATCTGCATCAAAATCCTGAGACAACATATTTTTCCGATTTTTTGTCAATTTTTGTGATGGGATCCCTTGAAAATGAGGTTTTCCCTATATGGCCCACAGTGATGGCTATATCTTTTCCAATTCTCTTCTGATTCTCAAGCGGAGTACCTTAAACGATTTGTGGATCGATTTCCCACCGTTCTGCATCAAAATCCTAAGACAAATATTTTTCAGATTTTTTGTCCATTTTTGTGATGAAAATGGGGTTTTCCAGTATAGGTTCCACGGTGATGGCTATATCTTCCCCAATTCTCATCCGATTCTCAAGCGGGGGTTCCTTTTACGATTTTTGGTCGGTTTCCCACCGATCTGCATCAAAATCCTGAGACAACATATTTTTCCGATTTTTTGTCAATTTTTGTGATGGGATCCCTTGAAAATGAGGTTTTCCCTATATGGCCCACAGTGATGGCTATATCTTTTCCAATTCTCTTCTGATTCTCAAGCGGAGTACCTTAAACGATTTGTGGATCGATTTCCCACCGTTCTGCATCAAAATCCTAAGACAAATATTTTTCAGATTTTTTGTCCATTTTTGTGATGAAAATGGGGTTTTCCAGTATAGGTTCCACGATGATGGCTATATCTTCCCCAATTCTCATCTGATTCTCAAGCGGAGTACCTTTAACGATTTTTGGATCGATTTCCCACCGATCTGCATCAAAATCCTGAGACAAAATATTTTTCCGATTTTTTGTCAATTTTTGTGATGGGATCCCTTGAAAATGGGGTTTTCCCGTATAGGTTCCACGGTGATGGCTATATCTTCCCCAATTCTCATCTGATTCTCAAGCGGAGTACCTTTAAACGATTTTGGATCGATTTCCCACCGATCTGCATCAAAATCCTGAGACAACATATTTTTCCGATTTTTTGTCAATTTTTGTGATGGGATCCCTTGAAAATGGGGTTTCCCCGTATAGGTTCCACGGTGATGGCTATATCTTCCCCAATTCTCATCCGATTCTCAAGCGGAGTACCTTTAACGATTTTTGGATCGATTTCCCACCGATCTGCATCAAAATCCTGAGACAACATATTTTTCCGATTTTTTGTCAATTTTTGTGATGGGATCCCTTGAAAATGAGGTTTTCCCTATATGGCCCACAGTGATGGCTATATCTTTTCCAATTCTCTTCTGATTCTCAAGCGGAGTACCTTAAACGATTTGTGGATCGATTTCTCACCGTTCTACATCAAAATCCTGAGACAAAATATTTTTCAGATTTTTTGTATATTTTTCGTGATGGGATCCCTTCCCTAAGATAGAAAGATATCAGGATTTACGGCGGTTACTTTCTGTGATTAAGTCATTGATTCCTTTTCTTGGCAGACTTGTTTAATTTATGGTGATTTCTTCAAATCTTATCTATTACGCCTGTCTAAAGAGCTAGTCTATGAGAATCCCGCAGGGGATATTGAGGACAAGCGGGAATAATTCATCGAATTAATGAACGCCCACACGCGCTGATTAAAAAACATACAATTTGGCGCATTGAGACCATTCGGTTTGTGGTAAGGCTTTATAGAGAAAAGTGCTTAAACTTCAATGTACCCAATCCCGAGATATTGCCCTAACGTTTTCTTCGAAAAGTGAAAATAGATCGCTGGCCTCTAGACCCCCGAGCGATAAACAACTTTTGAATGGATTACTCAACACTTTGAGCCGCAATATAAAAAAAATACAACCAAAACTCAGCAAAAGAAATATATAGCGCGGGCAAAGTGTTGCCAGCATTTATCCCATTGGGGGCAAGAATCCGGAATCCAGAGTCGAGAAGCCGTTGCCGAAACCGAAGCCGTTTCGAACATTTTCGGCACTTGGCAGTTGCAGCGGCAAACGGCTTATGGGTCTCCGGTGTCCGGGACACCGGAAAACGTGCGAAAGTCGCATTAAAAACTTTTTTCGGGGCCAGTAACAATTCATGCGCTTATAAATTGCCACCGGAGAGCTGAGACCGGAGAGCAGGAGCCACCACAGTGGCAGCCACAAAGCAAGCAAACAAAGCAAAAACGGCATGCAGCACCAAAAAAACCAAACAGGGAAACTTTATAAAACGGCCATCGAATTGCAACCAAAGTGGGGTATCAGGGACGAAGATAGCTCTGTTTTCAGGGGGTATGCAAATTCAAAAATATAACACATTAGTAAAATATTATACATTTTAAAGAACATTTTCGTTATAAGCTTCATAGCCAATATAATAATAATCTCTATATTTTAGCCATATGGTGTTTGATTCGTTTTATCGGGAACTTTTCTAGAACATATTCAGAAATTATGTTCTCTGAGATATAATATAAAAAAATTTTATAAAAAAGATGACAAAGAAAGGATAATAATCAGAGATATAATCTTTAAAAATAAGAGCCTCACGTTCGCTACAACTTATTCCAACCCCTCTTGCGAGGGCCCCTGCCAAAAAGGACTTACCAACATGATGTCCAGGATGGTCGAGCACAGGACGAAAGCGGCGGACAGGAAATGCATTAAAACGATAACGGTGAACTGGCGTGTTAGGTCCGTACACAAATCGATAATCGCATTGTGACGCTCGACAACTGCGGCCAGTTTTTGGCGCACCTCCGCATTCATGGCCGCCGTGAAAACATCGACGGATTCTGCCCGAAAGCCAAAGAGTCAAGAAATGTGGGGAGGAGATGCACAACCACTCAGGAGGAAACTCACCGCCATGCAAATCCGTAAATATCTTTCGAATGTCATGCTGCACCAGCCGGAATACTCCGCAGATGTACATGCAGGAGCAGATAAAGAAGCCGTCCACGAAACTGAAGGCAAACACTGTGCAGGCTCCGGAAGCGGTCAGCAGGACATAGGTGAGGGGAAACAGAGGAGGCTTGACGGCAAAGGAAGGCACGCTAACGATGAAAGAGACGCCAATAAGTAAACAGAAAGAGTCAGCAACAGAAAATAATGAATATTCCTAGAACGTCTTGAGGCGGTGAAATGTAATTTAAAATATTCGATACGTGCATCATTACCCAATGTAATTGGTGCCCAGTATCATAAATATTCCATTAATGACTCCTACTTACATTATATTAAACGGCAGTTCGATCTGACCAGGTAAATCAAAGATCCATCTATAGAAGCCCATGATCAGGGGTTGGGCATTGAATGCAGTGTTTGTCATCGTGCCGGAGCTGAGCAGCAGAAGACTAAGTCCACTAGCTGTGGTGGCCAGCTCCACCAGCATCTGCTGACTCTCCTGCCTGCGCGCCGCCCAGAGCATGTCCTTCATCCGACGCACCAGCTCTGCCCACTGACGATTGGCCCGGAAGAAAACCCACAGCTTCAGCACACACACCGCCTTGGTGGTGCCGGGGCAGAAGGCCTCCAGGGCCACCACCAGGTCGTCCAGGTGCACGCACCCGTAGCTTACCTCACCCACCGCCCCCACCAAGACCACGACGAAGGCGAACACGAAGAGGAGGTGGGCGTACCAAGGACGGCCTCGGCCACTGGGCTGCGGCCAGAGCCCCACAATACGGCCGGATAGCCGGGGAATGCGAAAAAAATGACCAGCAATGGCGGGCTCAGACACGGCCTCAATGTTTCTCCTGTCAATCATTCCGGCGGTTAACTCAAGTGGATACTATCGATAAATGATTTGCTCTCCCAGCCAAGTGGTCAGCTGCTGCTCCGGGCAAGTGTCAGGAGCAGTGGAAGGAACTCGGCTTTTTATAGCCACTACGGAAAATAATTGCAGGTCCTGCCTTTGACTTTGTTAAAAGTTTTTAATTGTTTTCATACTTACGTCTGTGCCCACCGCCCACACTTCTGTGCTTAATATCCTTTCCTTACGGCACAGCGGCCATCCTTCCAGCGAGCTCCTGCCATCTCACCTGTAATTATGAAGCTCGGTTTCTGTTGGCATTCCCATTTCATTTATTTGACATTCAATATTCTGTATGTGTTGCAGCGAGACAAAGGCGAACGAATACAAATTTAATTAATTGTTATGCGGCAAAACTTTCACTTTCTTAAACTTTCTTCGCCACTGTCTCTCCACGCTTTCCTTCGGATTGTTTGTTTTCTTTTTAATTGGGCATCCTACCTACCCGCCCACTTTCATTTTGACTAAAAGTTGTTAATTGTGGGGCTTGTTCTTGGCCAGAAATGAAAATAAACGAAAATCTGTGAGGCGGGAAGGGGGAAACATTTTTGTCATGCTTTGGAAATCAATTTTCCCTTCTCTTCAGAGTAATCTAAACTCTTAGTTGAATTTGGAAAGCCATCTTTATGGACATATGATCGATTTAAGGTTACTGCCAATAGTAAGCAGACAGGCAAACCAATTAAATGAACACACACACGATGCCCTTTTGATAGATGGACAATAATTGCATTTTATTTTGGGGCCGCAACGAATAATATTTGTCTGGCGCAGTGGCCGGCCTGCAGTTGAGGTCATCCCATTAACTTGCAGCTCTCGTTCGGATTTGTCTTGCATAATGTTTGGAGTTCCGTCCCCCGAATCCAGTTGCCGGCTCTGTCCTATACATCGCATTTATCTGATGGGACAGCAAACATGGTCGGTACAGTGCCTAAGCTAAAGCCAAATCCAGGCTAATCCTGTTATAGCAACTGTATCAACGCCTATCATCGATGGCCACTAAAGTGGAGCAGACCACGCCCTTTGATGATGCAGTTTATTTTGTCAGGTCTGTGTGGCATATATCAACATGGAGCCACCATTGCCGCTTCACCTGCATCAGCATATTCAATAAGCGGTACGGTGCTCGGCCCACACGGCGTATGCGCAACTCGATGCCGCATAAGCGCCCATCAAGTGTTTGCCCGCAGTCACCTCCTGTCACGCCCTTCGTCCTTGCACGGCCCTCTACCATCTGATCCCCACGTAGTGCGTTCTGCGTTCAAGTGACCATAAAGCAATGCCGTGCCATTCAGGTCGTATCTGCAATTGCACTGAAAGAAATATAAATACATTTCTGAACGCTGTACATTTTGTTATATTAATCTTAAGTAGCTAATACATTAGGTTAAGATACAGTTGACCCTGTTGAATATTTTATATACTTCACCTTTTTGCAACCTTTTTCTTGCCGTGACCCTTGCCCTGTCTCTACTTAGACAATTATGTAATATGCAAATTGAAAGATTAAATGGTAGGCATAAAGATTGAAGAGGATGGGGGTGCCCTGCCAAAGGATATTCCCATTGCTGGCTGTGAAAGGATTTTAACAAATTGATTTGCCTACCTTGGTTTCAATTTCAGAGCAAGGCCTCCAAGTATCGAAGCCTCGAAGTCCCCGAAAATCCCTGTTAGTTGTATTCGCCACTCGACATGACTGACGTCATTGGGAAATGGGGTCCATCCCGGGCTAAGAGCCCCTGGCCAGCCCCTTCAGTGTTTGGGCCTTGTTGTCGACTCGCTTGTCGACTGTCACTCCTGCCCAGGACGGACTGGGGAGGGGGAATTGTGGTGGGTTAGGGCCTGGTCCTTTTATTAGCCAAAAGCACATAGAAATGCGAGCTTCATTTATTGCCTCGACGAGTACACCAATTTTCCATTAAAATTTCACCCAGCCACTGTAAGTTAGGATGTGACTGTAGGGGTGCGAGTGTGTTTATGGGGTGTATGTATGTATGTGTGACAATTGCATTTGCGCATTTCCATTTCCGTTTCCGCTCTGGCATCGTCATGGCTGTCGCTGGCGTTTTCTTTTGCCATTTGCTAGCTGCTTTTGGCAGCCACGACACCGTCCTTGGCCTCAACCACCCACATCTTAACCACCCACTGCCCCTACTCCTCCAGGCTGCCATAAATTGCCAGTTGCATTCATTCATATCTTTAGCAGCTTCCTGCCCCAAACATGCATCATCGTCAGCGGCATCATTGCCACGCTGCCTTGAATTATGCGCCAATAAATTTGTTTGTTGAATTCCCACCTAAATCGGATTTCCGTCACTATATATACGCATCGCTACGCCTCTGCACGTCAAATCAAATATATATATATATATTTAATAATTGCGCTAAAAACTCGGTGAAACTGTCTGGTTGCATTAAATTAGCAAAGCTCCGAGTCCAACTGCCGGGCAACAGTGCGTATGATTAACACTAAATACGTTCACTGTCAAAAGTGCATGATTCCCATTAGTAATGCAATAGAACAAGATGGAAATATAGACAGAGAAAGAGATGGAAATGGAGAGAGGTAGAGGGAGCAGGGGTCGGATGCACATTGAGTGTTTATGGCCTGGCACATAATTTTGCTTATTTTTGCAATTAGCTGGAAAATTGATGCTGCAACATCAGAGTTCATTGGGAAAGCCGAGGGCGGTATAAAGGAAAGTTGCCTAAAATATAACAAAAATTTCTTGCTATTAAAAACCCATGACAACATTCATTAATAAAATCAAAGATTTTATCCAAAACCCTAGCATCAATTTATTTTCCATATCAATCAGAAATTCTTTAGCACCGTGACCCTTCATAAAAAAATGGAATCATAAACACACCAGATTTTATACGCTGTCACATGATAAACTGCGCTGAAATTATGTTTATTAAACATTGAAAAAATGCATAGCAAATCTTCTATGCATAAGTGACACTTAACATTTACCACCCCATACCCAGTCCAGAATGCAGGTTTTTTATGGCACCACGTAACTCAACTGGGAAGCAGGGCAGACGAGGGCATATAGGGGGCATATACAGGGCATATGGAAACTACTAAAGCAACCCACGTGAAAGTTATAACTTGGCATTAAATGCGCAAAACCAAGCGTGGATATCGTGGCAACATGGATCCCTACACAGGCTAACACTCGCGTTCACATGTGTGCCAATAAAATGCAGTTGACTGTGCAGCTGGCAACAGAAAAAAAAAAAACAGGAGAGAAAAAGTAGGCGGGGCAGGACCTGCGAAGATGCTGCTACTCCTGGCAAATGGAACAACAACGACGTGGCACGTAAGGCGACGGGGGCAATGTGTTGCACATTTTGGTGGCAAAGTTGCACAAATGTGTGAAAATTGTACAACACAAACAAGCGGAGCCAAAAGGAAACAGGACCCCGGAGTCGAGAGCCTGCAGCCGGTTCCGGTGGCGAAGCTGGTGCCGAAACTTGCAGGACGAGTGTAAAATGCAATTGAAAAATGCCACAGTTTTGCATAAATCAGCAGGAAAGCGGCGAAAATGGCGCACAAACAAGCAGAAAGTAGCAACCCGGCAACAGCCAGCCAGGATCTGGCTCAACGGCACCAACAATGGCGGTGTGGAGGCGCAAGGAGTTGGGCTACGGGATAGGGAATCTGCAAACATGGCCGCAGGCAAACCCGTAAACATGGCCAACATGTCGGCAATGGGAATGGAAGGGTGGCGGGCAGGGCGGGAAAAGCGGAAAAGCACAGCCCGCCACAGATATAATTTACTGATAATGCAATTGCCGTTCGAGCAACGCAGGCGCCACCTGCTGCAGCATTCTGCCACATCGCCTGCCACAATCACATGTCCCTATCCCCCCCAACCCTCCGGTTATGGCCGCTGTCTAATTTTTTGTCCTTGTTGGTGTTGCACGGCTGGCTAAGCAAGCAACTTCCTAGAGCCAAAAAGCGCTGAAATGTGCACAAAAAAATTGAGCAATAACAATTAGGTGCACCACAGCGAAGGTTAAATTCCCTAACAGTCTAAAGGATTAAAAGGATAATATTTGAAGCTTAACTTTACTTACTTTTCATACACTATCTTAGTGGGCATTTCCAGAAAAGGATGTATTGTATGGTAGAAAAGGATCTGTGATTCTTTTGTGATTCATATTTTAAAAATATTCTACAAATTTTGCAAATGATCTGATAAAATCGATGTACTCTGTTTGCCAGGATATCTATACCCGCTTAAAGGATATTATATCCCCGATGTTTCGGCAACAGCCGAGCGGAAGAGCAACTGTCAAATATAGCGAACGCAGCACAAACTGCATAAATATTGCAACGGCATGACTCGACAGCGGCTGCTCGTCCTCCTCGTCCTGGTCCTGTTCGCTGTTCATCTCCTGGACTTGGTCACGCTGCAGTTGACATTTTTTCTTTTTTTTTTTTTGGTCCATTCCGGCTAGAAGTGGCAGCTAGTCCGGTGTCCATTGGCCATAGCCCGAAGTCCATAGTCCGTGGTTCTATAGAAAACAGTTCAGTCAGCTAGCCATTCCGTGGTTTGTGATGCTTCGCATACAAATTTCATTTGCTTCCGCTGTGCGATTTCAAATTAAAGCCATCTTGTCATCTTAGAAACTTAAAGACAGGGGATTCCCTCGAACTCCGAGGAGTAAATGGAACAACAACAACAATCAGCAGTTTCCATTAGTGGCAAAGAAAAAGTAAAGGATGCCGGAGAGAAAAAGTGCCTTTTGATTTTCGGTGATTCCCTCTTCACACAGCGGAATTGGCGCGAGCGTTTTTGCCATTATTTTCTCTAGTGAGTTTCTTTTGTTTGTTTGACAATCGAACAAGTTGGAAAGTACAGTGGGGAATCGATAATTATCGATTGTAACCTGTAATTGGAAGGGAAATCATAATTTGGAGAAATTAGTTATTTCCGGCACAGCACCTTTAACATTTACTAAACGAACTTAAGAGATATAAGTACCAATTACAGAGACCCTACTGTCCATGAACCATGACATTTTCCATTCTCTGGGAGCTTTCTTCTCGGCTAATTAACTCAATTGCAGCTACGGCTCCAGCTGGAGCTCCGTCTTAGCCATTCTTCATTAGCCCGAAGTCAAAGTTTACGATATGCGATTATTTCACTTCAGCAATGTTGCTGTTTTTGTTTCCAGTCGGATGTGTTCAATGCTTTCTCCCTTTTCTGCCAGTGAAGTGTTTGTTTTATGGGCCAAAATAATAACAAGGCAGGGGTGGCCTTGCCCCACTTTGTCTTAGCCATAATTATTTCAGGAAAGTTTTAAAGGTGAGCAGGATATTTTTGGTTACCTGAAAGCAAGTAAGTTATGACACACGACGTGAAGCAGATAACTAATCCCAAGTCGGGCCTGAACCAACTATAATCTTGGCATTTGGCCTGTATACACCCTCAGCTACACACTCTCCAAACATTGTCCTTACCGTCTTCCTTACATACTTCTGCACTCTAGGTGTGGTAAATGATGTTTTGGTTTGTTGTTATTGTTTAATTTGCACAAAATTCTTGGGCCGTTGTGTTGGCTTTTCGGTATGGGAGGTATGGCAGGGGGATTGCCGAAAGAGATGTATTTGCATTGAAAATTTCGGCATTGTTTGTTTTAGGAATTCGCATTTCCATTACACTAATTCATGTATTTTATTTCACATCCATGCTTGGGCTGCTGCCTGGGATTTGCAGAGGAGAGTGGCTTTAAGCCCATGGCTGCAGTGGAATAATTTATGCAGTTCCCTATTTAATTGCACAGCAATGCGGTGGCAAGTAGGTGTGGGGCCTGGTGAGTGCGGGTGCGGTTATAGTTTCAAAGTTGTTTGTGTGTCAGACGCTGGCTTGCATCTCTTCCAGTTGAGTAATAAGATTATTAGTTCCACTCTGGGGCACAAACACAAACGCATTATAAATCTAACCCCAGAACCGGCAGCCATAGAGCCAACCATCTCGCCACCCGACTGCCCCACCTCCCATCCAGCCATCATTATGGTATGTCCTTGGAGCAGGACCTCTAAATTAATGCCAATCTTCTACGAATATGCAACTAGAAAATTTAACGCTCTCCCTGGCATATACCCTAGGGCTGGGAATGTGACACTTTTCATAATTTTAGTTTACAAATTTCCTTAGTTACTAATTATTAAAATAGATTTTATTAAAACCTCTCACTTAAGGATATACTATATTTACACATGTGGGTTATATGGTCTTGTACTCAATTCAGGTGACATCCCCTAGCTTAGTGTAATAAATGATTCATTCAAATGTCAATTACATAAACTTTAAGCCAGGTCCTTGTAGAGACTTCCACTTGATAAATTTAATTGAATAAATTTGCAAAACTCAAGAGAAATGACAGAGCCGGCGGCTTAATTGGTGGGCTCAGTGTACAACTTACGTTACAGGCAAATATTTGCTTAAATTAACTCTATGAGATTCAATGAGATGCGTGGCTTTCCCAGGGGTTTGTGGATTCATTTAACTGCCGACGATTCCAGTAGGCTTTTTCGTTGCTGCAGTAGTTTAACTCTCTCTCGGATATCCTGTAGTGTGGGATTTAAAGGTAATTGCAGGGATATATCCTGGTGGTTTTTGAAAATCAATGAAAACTCGAAATCACGTATCTGAACGTTAAAGGCTTCGATAGTTTCCACCAGTTCCTTTCTGCAGCGTTTGAGTTTTAAATGAGCCAACTTAAGGCGCTCGGAAAATTCCTGAATTCTTAAAAGATTGATTTGCAGTTCTTGGGAGCGCTCTTCGCGCAAATCCAGTAGTCTTGTGTAGGCCTGAGGAGTATAGATTTGATGTTCTACTTGATTCTGCAACTTTGTTAGTTTCTGCTGCAATATGTGGTTCTTAGATGCAATCTCGGCAATCTTTTTCTCATGGTCTACCATTTTGGAGTTAACCAGAACGATTTCCTGACGACAGTTGATTAGATCCGTCTCCAGGCTTTGCTCTTCAGTTTTCAGTGCATTTAATTCTGCATCCAAATTAAAGTTCTGTATTTCTAGTTTGAGATTTTCTACTCTCTGTTGCAGATCCAACAAATCAGTTGGCGTGGCCAACCCTTTGGCTAGCAATTCTTGCCGTCTTTGCTCCAATTGCTCCGAGTTTAATCCGAAAGCCATGGCTACCTGGTCGAAGGCTTGCTTCTCTTCGACAATGGGAAACACACAGCGGCTGCCTTCCTCTCTATTATCGACGAAATCCAACAGAAAATCAAGAATTTCCAGCACATGACCATCCGGCATGCGGAGCCAAGATGGATTGACCTTTTTGGGATATCCCAGGAGTTGTAGTGCTTCCATCAGAGGCACCACATAGGAATCCGTGTTCAGGTGCTTTGGCAGCTTAACCCCTGTCGTGGGCAGTAGGAAACGCAGCAGGCTCAGAAGATCCGAAATAGTGAGCCGACGCAACCGGTTTTCAGCATTTGCCTGCCAGCCCTTTACTTTCAGTTCTTTCAGACGCGCTGTAATCCTCTCAAGCTTTCGCCGTAACGAATCCTTATCCAACTCGTTCTGGAATGCCAACCGTCGCTTCGAGGAGGCTGGTGGCGTTGCCTTTGGATAGGAGAATCCAATTGATGGCACCAACAGAGTACTCGTTGTAATGCAACTTGCTTTGTTTGGAGTTTTCCGGGGGGTTTCACGGCCTGTTTTCGAGGCTGAAACGGAACGGCGGTGGGTGGTAACCGGCAGACCCATTTGCTCGAGGAGTTCCCTCGAGCGCAGAGGACGTGGTTCAGTGCAGATTGTGATGGAGCACGGTACGTTTTTGCTTGTATTTCGAAATTTTATTTATCAATTCTGGAATGTAAATTAAGGGATTGTTGACTTACCACACCCGGGAGGCCGAGCCGGATAACTTCAATCGTTCCAGCAGCTCTTTAGGACGCTCGAGACTGAAAACTTGTATGTTTATTTAAATTTTTATTTCTGGACATATTTCTTACCGTATTTCTGGTGTCTTAAAAGGATCTAGAATGTCCTGGATTTTAGTTGGAGTTATGAATTCTCTTCTATCGCCTGGAACTTCTAGATAATTGCCCTTTTCACCCAAAGGGGTCCTTCTGAAAATGATATTTTTTTTTATAAACTGCTATTCCATTTATGGTATATATCTCACTGAATTTCTGGCATTCTAGCCATTTTCTTTTAACTATTTCAGTTAAAATCACTTTATTAGTAAACAAATTTAAAAGCAAGCGTCCCACTTTTTGTTGTGATCTAAAGTAGATGATCTAAAAATCGAAAGGATCTTTAGTTCGATGATCGTATGATAACTGTCTGGCAACTCTGTTCGATTTATCGAACTCGATACAAAATACGTTACTATTTGAATTTTATTCTAACCGATGATCTTTATGAAGTGCTTTAAAGAATAGCATTTAAAGGCCTGCTTTACCTTTTATTTTTTAATAAGATCCAGAATTCCAATACGTTTTCCAGTTTCAATAATTTAAAAGATACTTCTGCAATAAATAAACCCTTTGTTGACTTTTCAGCCAACTTTTCAGTTCTTTTCAGCCAACTTTAAAAAGTACATCTCACTTGGCATAAAAATGTCGAAATCCAGTTCATGCTGAAAGACCACGAATCAAAATTGCTGGAAAGCAATCCTTGACAAACAATGAAACAATGCAATGCGAAAGCTATTTTGCGGGCAGAATTTCCAGCAATTATGTCCTGCAAGCCGCGAACTTTTATTAACTTTAAAAACTGCAACCGTTGGCAAGGCAACACGAATGCATAAATCATGGATGAAAGTGAAAATTGGTTGCACCAACCGTGTGGTGTCCCAGGTGGGTGCCGAAAGGTGCCGCCTCCGTTGAACCATGATTCCGCCCATTTTGGACGGGGGTGTAATTACGAAACAATACAAGCACCGGAACGAAAGCCACAGAATCAAGAATGTGGCGCCTGAAGCCCGGGAAGCAGCAGGACCTACACCCAAAAGCAGCGTGAAGGTTGTGTTGCCAGGCACTCGAAGAAATATCTACATTTTTAGAAACATTTCCAAATCATAAAAAAATGGGTAGCTGATTTAAAATACTTTAATAATTAGACTAAAATTAGGAATTTTCTGATATATAAAACTCCAGCTCTAAAAAAGAAATATTTTGAAAAGTGTACCACCCACACCTTTAATGTTTTATCTGTTTTTGTTGTTTGTAGTGGTGCGATTTTGTAATTTAACCGCAATAAATAATGGAGGAGCTTGTTAAATTTAAGGGAACACACCACCCACCAGGAAGCCCTGAAATATATAGGTTAGACAACCGCGGATAATGATGATGTTATCGCCGGTCCATTGTGGCAGGACATGCAGTAGCCAGTAGCCATAACGAGACTGGACTGCGGCATGAATTTCTACTATTTTTACATATTTTATATAAATTTTAATTGTGAGGCATTGAAATTGCAAGGGCTGACCAGAAATGCGCTTAAAATAATTAAATTTATTGCCGCATCAGCGATTTGGCAGCTGACTAAGCTAAAACTAACCGCAGTGTCGACACAGCCATCGGCCGAGCAAGTGCCCTCAAGTGGACGATGTGGGCTTGATGAAATCCATACGTACATGTATCACTAAATATTTTTGCATTTATTTTATATAATACAGTACACATTGCATTAAACTAAATAAAATCTATTTAATATATAATATATATATATATATAATATGTTCTCGTACACAATCAACCCTATATACGCCACATTCCGAACTTATCCTCCGATTTGTCTTAGTCTGCACATTTAAATAGCATAAGTAATATGTGAGTCGCTGCTCATGACCTTAGTTTTTCAGTTTTTTTTCATTAACAACAATTATTTCTATTTGAATTATTATTTGTGTAAGTGTATCGTTTGTTTGTCTGTTAAAATCCTAAAATATTTTGTTTGTTTTGCGGTGTTTCAAGTTCTTACGATATATATATTTAATGTCAGAGGGATATACATATTTAAAATATATTGTTTCTATTAAGATTGCCAGTGTCTACTTGATGATAAACAATTGAATAGTTAAAAACAGTTTGCTATAGTAAACCAAACTCAGTTCGTTAACAATTTGAATTCGTTAACGGTCAAGTAAACTATTTACATTTTGGGGGACGACATACCATACGTGTGTTTAAATACAAATATTAATTCACCAATAAAGTGGTTAGAAACATTGCAAGCCCGGGCTCGTTGTAAAATTTAACTAGAAGCAATCGGAGTGCAATCTTATGGCAGAAACGTAACATTTGGTTGCGATTGCGGTGCGAGATGCCTGTCAGCCAAAACGGAGGGATGCTTATAAACAATCTGTACAACTATACCTTGAACTCGATAAATAATACTCAATAATAGAGATATAGATAAGAATATTTTGGGACGTTTCACTTAACCAACAACTGATAGAAAATTCGTTCAACATTTATGTTTTTCTTGTCGAAAGGGGATTTAATCACATCGAGACCTCTTTGTCGGTTGCACAGCTATAATCTTAGCTATAATCTTTTGGGACATTTCTCACTTTAAATAAACATTAAATTTGATATGCTGCTAAATATAATCAAGGCTTAGTTGTACGTACACATTTTAGGTGGTAGCGAACATAGGAATATAGACATACATAAGTGTGTATATATGTTTTTGTTTGTGTGTTTGTTTACAGTATACAGTATACAGTAATTGTAATAATAATAACAGTAACTATTAACGCAACATGGTCGTCAAATGGGGGAGTAGGGGGCAGGGATGGAAATAGGAATGGGGTGGGGGACGTTCAACTGGAATTAAACATTAATCAACAAACCGACCACAAATCGACTGCCACTCATTCCTGGCAGAAGCCCTCAGTCTCCTCGATGGCAAAGGTCAGCTTCTCTACCAGCTGATCGTAGCTCTTGTACGGCGGTAAGTCTAACCGGTTGAAACAGGTGTGGGAGCGCGGCAGCCACGTCTCCTTGCCCACCTTTTCGATGCAGAATCGTTGCGGACCATTGGATCCCATCAGCTCGGCGAATCCTCCCACTGGCACACGACACGTACCCGTCACAAACTGCAACAGCCTGGCCCTCTTCTCGTTGTCCGTCTCGCGCACAAACTGAAAATTCATAAAGTCGTTACAATGGGGAGTTGCGCCCAGGAAGAAGAAGATGAAGGCCAAATGCCAACTCACCTGCCAGAACCAGACAACCTGCTTTGAATTGCGGTTGTAGTGCCTGTAGATGGTATTGCGCTGCCAGTCCTCCACGTCCACGTCCTGCATGCCGCACAGGATGAGCTCCAGCTCACGCTCGTCGAAGTACTTCAGCCACTCCAAGGGTACAACCTCGTTGAAGCCCTCCAGGAACGTCTTAGTTTGCTGCTCGATGCCCCTGATGGTGAGAAGATGGAAATGGAATATTAAAGTGGAGGCGGAACAAGGAAACAATAGATTAAATAAGTTCGTCCAAAGTACAAGTTAAGCAAATGTAATGCAACTCACCGCGTCATTCGCCACTCGGTCATCAGCGTTATGTACTCCTCCTTGTTCTCCTCGGTCACGCGTTCCTTTTCGCCGTTCTCCTTTAGCTCGTGATGGATTATCTGGCCGAGCACTTCGAAGTCGACGCCGAACCACAGTTCCAGCCCACACTCATCGATGTTGTTGTCCCGCACCCAGATAAGCGAGTTGTAGAACTCCGGGTCGATTGTTTCGATGTCCTTGATGGTTAGCTTTTTGTTAAGCATCCGCTTGTAGAAGGGCATTGTGAATCCGCTATAGATGAATCGGCCGTGGTAGAGGGCCATCGCGATGAAGCGCCCAATAAACTTGAAGTACTGCAGATGGTCCGGATTCACGTACGAGGCGGGGTTTATCTGCAGGCTGTAGTTGTTCTTGTTCGCGTACTCAAACAGACAGTACATTGGATTCAGGACCTCGTGGGACAGCAGGAAGAACCACTCGCGAGACACGCCGCCGTAATCCAAGCCCTCCTCGCCGCGGAAGATGATGTAGAGACGCCTCCGCAGCTCGTAGGCGGGCAATCGCATGATCTGGTGGTAGGAGTCCTCGAACAATGTCTGCCGCGTCACCGTGATCTTAATGTGCGAGGGCAGAGCGTTGCTCTGGCACAGGTAGCGGAACTGCGATAGCTTCCAACGGAAGCTGCGTTCGTAGGCGCGTGGCACTCCATAAACGCCCTTTGCTCCCTTGGGAGCTCCTGGTCGCGGATCCTCAAAGGTGGTGCGCCGCGTATTGTGGTCCACAAAGAAGCGTTCGCCGGTGGCCGTGTACCGGATTTCCCAGCCGGGCGGGAGAGGTCCTTCGTTGATCAAACTGACTTCCTGGCCCTGAGTACGCGGATCCTCCCACTGCGTTGTGCGATTCTTGTGGTTCACGAAGTAAACCCGGTTATCGGATTGGACCTGTAACAAATAATTCAAGAATTAATATTCATTGTTGTCATGAGGATTCTCAAAGATACACACCTTCTTCTCCCAACCGTCTGGCAATGGCCCCAGGGCATCTTCTTCGTCCTGCGTCACCGCTGTGGGTTGCTGCTGTTGCTGCGAGCAGAGGTACCGCTGGTTGCCCTGAGCCACCACATGCGCCCTCTGACCCTGCCAGTGCTGGAAATGCATCAGTCGCTCGCTATTCGGCCGTTGCCAGGTGGTCTTCCGCGTGTTGTGATCAACATAGTACACTCGGCCTCTTCCGTCTTTCCTGATCTCCCAGCCAGGGGGCAGAGGTGTGGGCTTCTCCCAGTAGGTGGATCTTGTATTATGATCAACGTAGTATCTTCTGCCGTACTGATCCAACCGGATTTCCCAACCCGCCGGCAGGGGCTCGTCATCCGTCGGCTGGGTCTGTAGTTGGGGATCCGTGCTCTGGCTTATAGGAAGTCCGCCAGGCTGCTGATCCATGGGCGCTCCTGGTACGACAGCTGCCACAGCTCCTGCTCCGGCTGGTAAGTACACTGCAGCGGGCGTGGCGTTATCCGGCAAAGCTCCGTAGACTTGGGTTAATGGACGTGCCAGTACGGGAGCAGGCGGCTGCTGGGGATAAGGCGCAGTCTGCGGCACTGCCGCCCCACTTCCATTCACCATCCGCAGAGGTTGCTGCGGCTGGGGAACCTGGTTGGCCTGCTGCTGTTCCCAGACGGGCGGGGCTGGGGCGGTGCGTCTACTTTCCGCGGCACCGTTCGGCAGAGGTGAGCGATTCTCAGCGCTACTGCTACTGTCAGTGGGCGAGCGCAACAACCTCGCTCGCACTCCGCCGTAAATCATACAGCTACGGCCAACGACCGCGTCGCTAGCGATCGACGGATTGACCGCCTGGACGGGTGGATTGCCGTTCTGTTGTGCCGCGGAGGCGCCCTGAATCTGCAGCTTGCTCATGTCCAGCTTGAGGCCGTTGAGAACGGCCACCAACTCGCCGCTTTTGGTCTGGCGATTATCGGACTTGCTGGTCACAAAGAGGTCGATCGACAGCTCGAGATACTGGCAGCGACCGTTGTAGTGCTGCAGGATGTGCGCCAGTTGGATCATCCGTTCGCCCAGCATGGCATCTTTGCGGAAACTGGAATGGTCCAACACTTTGAAGTGCAGCGTGGAGTTTGGTGTAATCTTCAAAGGAAATAAATCGTTTAAATATGCAGATAATTAAGGTGCTTTATTGCAGACACTTACCAGCACTGTAAACTCCTCATTCCACTTGGGCAAGTAGCTGTTCTTGACCAGGTCCGTCTTCCGCTTGCTCTTGCTGTCGATGAGCAGCTCACAATAGGGATTCGGCTTGAGGAAGCCATTGTTTCGCAGCGACGCACCCTCGACTAAAAGGATTTTCGTTTATTAATTAATTATGCAAAATGATTCGTTTAGCAATCGCTTGCTCATTTACTCACTCATCACGCTTAATTGATGGTATCCTTGATTGGCACTCCCACTGGCCCCCGCCCCCGCCCCCGCCCCCGAGCTGGTGGAGGGATTGGTGCTGGCGGACGCGGCTCCATTCACTGTTTGTCCGGCCTCGATGCCGCCGGAAGCTGCACCCGCTGGCAGCCCATTTCCATCGGCCATTTAGTGGCTGTGTGTGTGGGAGAGCTTTTGTTGGCCCTCCTCCTCCACCTCCGGCTTGTGTCCTCCTGCTTTTTGTTCTTCTCCGTTCCTTTTTTTTTTGTTCCTGAGTGACCCTCACCACTCCGGGAAGCTATGAAGAGAGTCGGCCTGAAAGAGAAAGCAATGTTGAAAAAGTTATTGGCATTGGCGAGTATCGAATGGGAAATTGCGTATTCGGGAGCTGATAAGATAAGCCCGGAAACAAGGTCTACACACGTAGATGTGTTTTTTCAATAAGCCAGAGAGACTTCTCTAAAACAAATCTGTTGGAATGGCTATTTTAACCTAAATATAACCTACATCTGTAATTACTTCTAGTTGTTTACTAACTCTCCAAGGTTAGCCGGAATGCATTTCTCCTCAAGCGCACTTGAGTCTTGACAGGTTTTGAGGCCTAATCTGGGGAGTCTTGGTATCATTATGAAAGCGACTAGCCGCAGATAAGATATACTCTGTATATATAATATAGGTATATAGTTACTAATATATGGCCACCAAACAATTAACAAACAGACCTTACTTTTTTCGGGCCTACTTTGGACCCCAAACTGAGGCACTTCCAGGCCTGTACTTGGCAATTATCGCTAGTTTATCTACAGTCCGTTTCGAGAGTAGTAAAGCTGAATAGTTTGGATTTATGTACCAATGATATAAGAAAGGAAATAACAATGACTAAGTGGGGTGATTGAAATGTGTCGATAAGCAAACAAGTAATGACTTTCTAAGCTCCGAACCAAAAAAAAAAAAAAAAACCCCAGCCGAAGAATTTATTTTGATAAGAAATCTATTATGACTTCCGACGGGCTTACACTTTTGGGAAGCACTGTGTTGTGAGTTATTAATTTTCGCCGTAATTCGCGGCTGTTTTTGTTTCTTTTTTAATGTTTTTTTGGTTGGTTGTACATTTCCCCAGCGATTGCTGGTCATCTATAATTTTGATAGCAAACACCATGATAGCCAACATGCACACCAATAGATTGTATAATAATGTGGCATGGAATGTGACTCATCAGCAAAATAAAGCAACCGAAACGGTAAACGAATACAGTTTCAATTGTTGAATGGGGATTGCATATTGATTACCTCGATTGGATTCCGATTTCACTGCATTTCATTTGCACTTTAAGGCTTTTTGCGAGAACACGTGAGCACAAGTGGCCGCCGAGCAGGGCGGCAATTAATTTCGATTTGTTTATTCAACAGAATCTAAAACAAATTCTCCAGGGCTTCGACGCCGATTCAGGTGTTTTTGTGGGAAAACTTAAATTAAAAGTACATGAATTTTACTCGCTTTGGATTTGAAATTGCCTTCGGATTGTGGATTAATTGACACATCACACTTGGTCGCTTGGTCTGCAATTAGCACTCACTTTCCGGCTCTTTGTGGGATTATCTTCTGCAAATATTGTGCCGCAGGCCGAGTGTTTATCAGCCGGAGGAAGCCCATACAATGTGGACACTAGTACTCGAGGAGGAACAAAGGGAATTTATCTATGTATTCACATACAGCGGTTGTAGGCCGGCGAGGGAGGCAAGCAGCCAGAATGTAATCAGCAACAGCTGTCAATAAATCAAGAATGCACTTTTCTCAGGGCGGCAGGGGAAGTGGGCGGGGAGCTGGGGGCCGGGGGCTGACACCCATACACTCGCACTTGAACTTCCTTGACGTGGGACTATTATCGATCGAACCACTCACACACACCCACCCACCAAAGCGAACACTATCACTTACAATTACACATACAATACATATATTTACCAATATTTTCGTGGTCATGTAACGAACGCCAAAAAAAAGTTTCTACCTCTCCCACTCCCACTCCCTTGCATGTGTGTGTGTCTGTGTGTGGAATGTTTGTAATTGAGGCAAAGGTCGCGCGTCAGACCTCCCGCTTGCACCAACACCAGCACTACGTCTGGTGATATTCTTTTTTTTTTTTTGCAATTTCCACTTCTTACGAATTTTTTCCTTCTACCTGCCGTCACCTTACCTTCTTGAGCTCTTCTTCTTCCAGTTTTGAGGCTCCTACAGCTCACGCCTGGGTGTGTGTGCGTTTGTTGTCTCCTGGGTGCGGGGCGTAGATTAGTTGGCCGCTTTTCGCGGAGAAGACCGCGCCACTGAAGACTATGTAGATAAGCTGAAAATCTTCGAAATCCACATCCGAATAGTAATCCTTGTTTTAGGGTAGATTTTGAGCTGGTAATGCCTGTTTTAGGTCAGTTTGTTATTCCTCGCCACTGGTGTGACCGTACCTCTATTTGTTATTGTTTAGGGGCCAAAAATCGTATATCGATTTAGTTTTACATTCTCGATATAATTTTTTTCAACACTTTTTTCGATAAGAAATGAGGGGTTTAATTGTAAAAGAGCAATATTATTGCTTAATTATTTCGGTTTCAGTTAAACGGTTTCATTTCTATTATTATTTTCCCCAGCACTTATCGATTTGGTTTGGCAGGAGTCACCCGGTCATTGTTATCGATTTTTAGATCACAAGACAGGACACAAACCTTCTTAGACTTTTTATAACGTATTGCTTAAAATTGAACCTTTTTTTAAATAAACTAAGTATTTAGTAGATACATTTTCGATAAGGTATTGCAATAGTTGACAATCGCTTTGTAATTTTAGTAGCAAAAATGTTAAATATAAACTGTAAAAACTCATTTCATACATGCACTTTAGTTTTAGTACACCTGCATTAGCTAATCTTTATTGCTTATTTATTAGGATTTTAATTCATTATACTCACTTCACTTTTTATTACACATTTATTCAAACGAAATACGCACTAAAAGTGAAATTTCCCACAACAAAAAATTGTTTTATTTAAACAAAATATTAGCAACCGTTTTTAATTCGAGCGCCGTGTTCAAACTGGCGAGAGAAGAGCCAAGAAAATCCAAAGTGGACAGGTTGTTTGTTAGCTTTTGGTCGTTTTTTTCACACATTGCTCGAGTTTGGGAGCGAGAACTGCTGCTCAAAGTGAAAATTATCAAAATTTAATATGCCAACCGCTCCGGATCTTCAGTCATTCGTAACGCGGGCCTCGAGCAGAACAGACGGATTATTTTTGGATTACGGTCACAAAGGATTACGCGACAAGGATACGCGATGAGGGAGCTCTTGATTTATGCATTTGTTTTGACGGGCTTGTTTTACTTTTCCGAAGGTAAACACAACCTGAAAGTGATTCAGAAAAATTCAAAAAAACAAATATGGTTTTTAAAAAAGTGCTCTGGTTTATCGAAAAAAATAATTATTAAAAACTGTGGTTATAAACTTAGTTTTTAACAAAAAAATATAAACTTTTTAGTAAAATTAACTAATATACCTGTATCATTTTTTCCTTTTCATAAAATCTTTTAATCTTTCCGGTCAAAGGCAAACCCTGCCCTGAAAAGACACGCCCCCACAAGACCCGCTGCGACGCCTTCTACAAGTGCCGGGAACTGCCCTCCAACTCCCATGTGTGGATACCCGTAAGATGCACAAAGGGATTGGTCTACGAGTCCAGCCTCAACAGCTGTGTCCTGCCGGGCGAGGATTGGGAGTGCCTCACGCCCAGCGAACTGAGCTCCACCGAGAATCCCAAGCCAGATTCGGATATATTAATTGTGAATGACTTGGACGAGGCGGGCTTACTGTTGAGTGAGTCTGATGACAAGCATGATGGAACCGTGGAGATTGTCCTGGACTCCATGCTGAGCAGTGAGGAGGAAGAGTCCAAGGGAAAGAATAACCAAGTGGAGGACCTCTCCTCAAGCCACAATTTCGACTCGAGTGGCGATGGTGAATTGGTGGATCTGGAACCTCCCCGTCCGCAGCCGAAGCCCGAAACCAGGGAGGAGCCAAGTGAAGAGCATTTGGAGCACAGGACGGAGGTGGATAAGCTGAAAACCGAACTGACCCAGGCGGCTGCTGTTAGTGAACTGGCCAAGCCGGGGTCACCCATAGATCCCAAGCTGACGGCCCATTTACAGAGGCTATCCCAACTGATAGATGGACTGCAGCAGACCTACCAGAAAACGGATAAGCCCCAGACGGAAATGCGTCCAGATCAGTTGAATGCCTTCCTCGCCCACTTTGACATCAAGAATCGTTACGAGATGATGAATCCCATGGAGACTACAACTCCTAGCACAACCACCACGGAGCAGCCGAAGACCACTCCCAAGCTGCCACAACCTACATCGAATAAGACGCGCCTGCAGGAGCACCTAAGTCACCATCGCATGGAGCCGGAAACCAAACTAATGCTATCGAATTCCTTGCCCTTTTCCACCCACAGCACTGGTCCCGGTCAGGGTTACGCCAATTCCCAGATTGTCGTGAATCGTCCCGAAGGATCCGTGATGTTTGCCCTGCCCAATAACTATGGAATGAGCCAGGAACAAGGAGCTTACTCCAACCATCATGCGCCACAGAGTCACGAGTATAGTGACCACGAACCAAAGATTTCGGAGGATACTTTGAAGACGGTCCTGGAGCTGTCGAAGCAAATGATAGCCGCCCAGAATCTGCCAAAGGTTCTGCCCAATCCGGGCTACAATGGTGCTTACTACCAGCCCATATTGCAACCGGTTTTCGTTTCACCTCAAGGCCATCCTTTCCAGCAATACTACGGCATCCCACCACCTCTCAATCCACACAACATGCAGCACAAGAAGCACCATTCCGGAGGAGGCGGGTCATCCAGCGACGGCTACAATAAACCAAGTACCACCATTATACACAATAACGTGATACCCGTACACCTGTCCGCTACCAGCTCCGGAGAGAAGGAGGTCCTGGACACCTACGGCAATAGCTTGGGCATGTATCCCAGTATGGACAAACACGTGACCCCCAATCAGGAGTACATGACCACAGCCAGACCTGTGTCGGTCACCACCGTGGCCAGCACATATTCCGGGCAATACGGTTCCCAGACCCCCTTCGCCAGTGACTACACGTTGACCACGCCCCGGCCCTTTGAACAACAGCCCTCAGCCGCCACAGTGGCCAACTACTACACTCCAAGTCCACATCTGGGGGAGCACAACGCCAATAGGGTGTTCCAGGCCACCGAATCGTATCCGGGCATGAATATGCCCAGGCCAATGGACATGTTTCCGGGACAAATCGATCCGGATAGGGTTAACATACGACCCAATTCGCAGAAAATCGAAAGCATCGAAATGATGGACGACTACCAGAGCGGGTCTGGAAATGGAAATGGAAACGGGAATATGAATGGGAACACTCTTCCTCACGTACTGACCTACAGCAGCGCGAATCTGGGCAGCGACATGAGCCAGCAATTAGCACCTATGGGCGGCTATTTGGAGCAGCATCATCTTCAGAATCACCACAGCAATCATCACCATCCGTACATGCCACGACCCACGATGAGCAGTAGTATTTATAGCGATTCCGATGGTAATATGGAGATGAGCATGTTCACGGGTAGTCCACAAATGCTCCCTCCCAAATACCCTGGAAAGCACTCCCCCCCTGGCCAGCTGGTCAACTTTAACGGTAACTTCATTAGCCTGGATGTCTTCCAAAAGTCCATACTCCCACTGATGACCAAGTCGCCGGGAGGATTCAGTGATCTGGGCAACGTGGAGGTGATCACTTGCCAGGCAGGTGTCCGCCAGCCCAACCAAACGGACTGCACACGCTACTTTGTTTGCTCCAAGAAGGACGGCAAGGTCCTGTCCTACTCCTGCCCACCGTACACGGCGTTCAACAAGCAGACTAGGATATGCGATGCTCCGACCTATGCCCAGTGTGGCAGTGTGATGCCTGCTTTCAGTGGCTACACCATCGATACCAACCGGCGGCTCCAGATGGAGGCTATCAAGATGCTGAGCGAGGCCAAAAGGCGGCAGGAGGCGGCGCAGAAGGCCCAGAGCCTAGCCAATCTCCTCCAGCAGTATGGCAGCCAAACGCCACAGGCTTCACCGGGTATATCCTCGAACATAGAACAGGATCCGGTGGACTCGTACGTGGTGAATCTCCCGGAGATCAATCTATTAGCCACCACGAGCACCACCAGCCGGCCCACCATTATCCAGGCCGGCAGCTTTAGCGGTGGCCTCAGTGCGAGTAGCAGCATATCCTCGGCGCCTGCCAAGAAGCGGAAGTACTACTGCAAGGAGGGCGACAAGATCCCGGATCAGACCTCCATTTCCAGCTACTTTGTTTGCTACAAAAACGCCCAGGGCCAGATGAAGGGCCACAAGATGAGCTGCTCCAAGAGCCTGCTCTTCTGCCCCAAGACTCTGATGTGCACCCTGGCCTCCAAGTGCACCGACTAATCCCGCGGAGTACTCTTCCCCACACACATTTGCCACCAAAAGTTACTTTGTTTAGCCTCTAAGTTATTTATTCTAATTTTAGTTGAAAACCGAAACGAGACCATTAAAATTCTGTAAAAAAAAAAGTCATACAAAATCATGTGTGTTATTTATTTTGGGAAAGTTCCACGGCTTGTTCTAGACCAAGTAAGACCTTGCCCTTCCGGTTTTTGGGGCTGTGGCAGTAGCTGGAAAAACTGACCTTCTGAAATGACTCCGAACGTGATATATGCCAGGCGGTCACCGAAAATCCAGGAGCGGAGTTAAACAGCAGGGGGGACTCTACAAAATCTACAGATATTTTTTAGCTTAAAATTATATAACAAAATTCTTGCCCAAAGGTCATTGAAAATAATATAATACTTAGCCTTTTGCTTACAAATCACTTAACAAATTCCCACCTAAAAATTATTCAAATAAACATTTAAGTTATTTTTATACTTCAATACGCTACTGTTTCATATTTTTTGGGGAAAAAGGTTTTCACTTTTTTAATGTCTCCATGAAGCTTTTACTTGTTTATGTTTTCGAGGGCTATCTCAGCCAAATGGTTATTATTACATGAAACAGTTGACATTTACGCTCGTGCAGTGGAGATCTAGTTTAATTACCAACTCATTAATGTGGCATTAAAAATGAGTGCAAATGTTGAGAGCAAATATTTAAATAAGTCGTTGACCGGTTGGAAATTTGTTTTTGGGGCTTGCTATGACATTTCAAGTGCTTTAGTTAAAAAGGAATAAAAAGGTATAAACCTCTTAAGACAAAATTAGTAAGGCTACTATTTAGCAAAGTATATACCCTTTTACATCTCAGTTCATCTCATAAACTTTCTTTTCTTGACTTTCCTTAGATTCTTGAGCTTCACTTTCTGCTGAAATATTACCCAACCCTTGAAGATGCTGCCCTGACCCTGTCCGGAGAGATTTCCATTTTAAGTATATTTTTTTGGCGCGTGTTTCTCGCTAGAAAGTGACAGTAGTTTGAGCGCACTTCTAGATAGACCTCCACTTTCTCCTTCAATCGCATTCAAGCCCTTCCTGCTCGCACTACTAACACTATCAATGCACTAACAAATACTCTAATTAGTTGCTAATAATTGTTTAGTTAGTTGCACACGCACTGGATGGATGAACACGCGCTTTTCAGACGCCTAGAAATTTTCGAATGGACGCCTGTAATTTGTCACTCACGCTCCTCCCAACTCTCACTGGTATGTACATATCACATATCTTTTCATGGAAGACCCCGAGCTCATAGATATGCAGGTTTACCACTAAAAATATTTCCAGGCACTTGCATAACCCAACCTGAGATCATTGACTTTGGGACCTTTCGGTAACTTGGCGAAGAAAGTTTCCGGTTTCCCCAAAAGACATAAAAATGTAATTATAATGTGGTTAATATTTTTGATCCAATAAAAACACTTTTAACCTCCGTTCTAAACAGTTGTTTTTTATTTTATTAATTTTAACCATTTTGAACCATAGCTTTTTTCTCGGATCGACTGATATAGCTTTACAGTTCTCTCAACAACTACAATTCCATTAGGTTTACTAAATATTAAATTGTTTGATTTGATTCTAGCTTTGCTTTGGATTTTCAACAACATTTAAGAACTACAATACCATTCAACATTTGCTTCCACATATTGCTTATAGAGAGCACAGCGGGCTAGTGGGATTAATTCTAATTTGTGCCAAGATTTTGGCAAAACTTTGTTTTTTGTTTTGGGTTTTTCGTTAGAAGAAATGCATTTTAACATTGCTCTTTTTGTGAATGTTTCGATTTTGTAACGTTTACAATTAATTATTAATTAAGTACAGTATACTACAGGGATTTAGTTTTCGTTTTCGATTTGTTTTTTTTTTTACACAGCACATCTAACAATTAATTAAAGTGGCTTTTGGTTTTTGGTTTCGATTTTAATGGCTACTTATTCTTGTTGGTTACCGAATTGGTAGTTAAAAGTTTATCCCATTTACGCTTAGGTTGCATTAGTTTATAATACAATTATCACATTCCTTTTGATGATGATATATATTCAGTTTTAATTTGCATTTTGACTTTTGGATTTTACAACTACGCTCGCTACGCCGGCTAATCCGCGACTATTATTGCTTAACGATTTTTGGATTTACCACAAAGGGGATAATACTAATACTAGTAATAATAGTAATAATTTTGGGCTCTCTAGGCGGCACAAAACAAAACCGAGGCAACGCAGGATTTTAATGGCAATTTATCACTAGGCGGGGCTTACGGACTAGTTTCACTTAGTTTCTAGCACTAGACACTCAAAGCGCACAGAGAGAGGAACACAGTAGCAGTAGCAGACAAAAAGCAATGAGATGGCCATCCCAGGGTGGTCCTAGACCATCCCGAATCCCTCGCTGCCCTCGCTGATGGCCAGCAGCAGCGACTTCTCGAACTGCTCGTAGCTCTCGTAGTCCGGCAGGCACAGCTGGTTGAAGCTGTAATCGAAAAACTTTATCCATTATACTGTTTCAAAAATGGGGAAATTAGCCAACTAGTTCACCCACCAGGTGTGCGCCGTGGGCAGGTTGCCAAATGTGGGCGCCGCCGTGATCTGAAACTGCGGATTCAGCTCCTGGAAGCCACCGGGCGGCAATTGAGAGCAGCCCGTTGTGAATTGCAGCAGTCGGGCCATCTCCGTCTGGCTAAAGTTGCTCACTCCGGCCCAGAACCAGGCCAGAACCCGTCGGAATTCGGCCGAGTTGCCGTTGGCAATGTGGTGCGACTTAAAGTCACTGATGGAGTACTCCCCGGTGCCGCACATGAGCAGCTACAATGGAGGATATACTTAATATTTAAAATTAATCCTTAAAAATACCAAACTCACCTCCAGTTCGTTCTCATCGAAAATGCTGAGTAGATTATCAGGTATAATGGAGTTCAGGCCCTTAAGAAAACTGTCCACCTCATCCTTCACACTGTTGCAGAGTCGCTGTTGGGCCAAAGCGTCCAGATACTGGTTCTTGCTGGCATTCGTCACCCGAGTCCTGGCCCCATTCGGGATCAGTTCAATGGTCTTGCTCAGCTGCCCGCTGCTGGCATCGTACAACTCCTCCACGAAGTACAGCTCCAGGGTGTCCGTGGCGTCCAGGTCTGTGTCCAGAATGTACTTGATCTTTGACAGATACAAATCCGGGTCATCTTGTTCAAAGTACTGGAAAGGAAGGTATTATATTGATGATATAAACTTAGAATCCTATATCCTTACCTTATAGTGCACCCTCAACCCGATCAACTGAGCCAGAAAGGAGCGACTGAATCGTGCCCTCACCAGCTGGCGATAGCTTCCTCCCAGAGCACTCTCGAAGAGGCACTTGCCCACCATCTTGCCGGCGAATTCAAAGTGCTTTAGTTTGAGATGAGCCGGTCGCGTTGGATTCGGATGGACCAGCGCCTGGTGCTTATCGTGGAAGGTGCAGAAGAGACCGCCGCGGGCGTCGAATAAGGAACTGCACACCAGTTCGAACCACTCCCGGCGGAGGCCGCCCCAGTCAATGCCCTGCTCGCCCTGGAAGGTCACCTCGAAGTTGCCGCACCAGTCAGACACCGAGAAGCCCTTGGTGGCCTTCATGCTGCTCTCCAGGATTTTATCCCGCTGCACCTTCAAGGCCATCTTCTCGTGGTAGTAACTGGCATGAAACTTTCGCACCTCGTGGTAGAAAAAGTCCTGCTTATCCTTGAACGTCTCTGAGCCGCCGATGTTCTTCAGCAGAAAATGTGTGAAGGTGGCCGCAATAATATTCCGATCCTTTGAGGCCAGCTCGATCTTGGGCTGGGCCCCATCATCGATGATGAATACTGGACCGTGCAACTGGGAGACCAGCTGCGGCAGAAAGTGGAACTTGGTCGAGGGACACAGCCGGAAGGTGGCGATCCTCTTTGGAATGAATTTGAGTATCATCTCCTTAATGGTCACCTGGAAGATCAGAGAGTTCTGAGCCCTCGCCTTTCATGGGATAGCATTGCAGCGCCTGGCTGCCCACTCACCTGCTTGGGTCCCACATAGCAGAGCACCTTCCTTGGCTTGCTCTTGGCCACTCCGAAGATGCTCAGCAACTTGGCCTCATAGCAGATATTGTGCTTCCTCGAGGCGATGTTCTTGTGCACCAAGGTGGTGTCGCTGCCTGAGGATTGGGGGTTACTACTAGCTCTTGTGGATTAAATCGAAAAACTTACTACTTAGTACAATGATGTCGAAGTCTCCGTTTGGCAGCTGCTGTTCCCGGTAACTGATCACCGCCCGGAGGCACGTTGGTTCCGGAAACAGGGCTGTGACCGACACCCGGGAGTTGACCTTGTCGTAGGCAAAGGTAATGGCATGCTGCAGCTTCTCCACCGCCACTCCGTGGAGGTCATAGACGGCCACTTGGTAGCCCTACAATTTCCATAAAATATACTCCCCTATCGGATCAGTTATCGGATCATTCTCACCTGTAGAGCCTCATCCGATTGGTTCTGATCGAAGAGACAGGAGTTTCCGAACTCATCCCGCGGCTCGATGTGCATCAGGGTCGGGGATCCGGCACAGCAGATGACCGTGCTGGCCGGGCGAATAAATCGCGATCGCCGGGCGTCGATGGCGCCGGGCAGGAAAGATCGCAGAAAGGGTGAGCCGGCGATGTGACTGACTCCGATCAGCACCGAGATCTTGTACTGACCAGCCGTGCGGACAGTGAATTTCACCTTGGCAATGTTGGCGTTGTTGGGATCGGTGGAGGAGCCCAGCTCGCTGATGGTCACCACCTTGCGGGTGCCCTCGGTGACCTCCACGAAGAACTGATCCGTATCACAGATGGGGTAGGGCTGGCCGTTGCGCTGGAAGAAGCGGACCACGAAGCACATGGTGCCGCCCACGCAGGCCGGATCCTTCCAGTCCCACTGGACCTTGCAATTGGCGGGCAGCAGATACTTCCCGGTCACATACTGCAGTAGGGAGTGCCGCGCCTCTGGGGCAAGAGCTGGCTGCGTCATGGCAGCCAAGGTGACCAGGCCTGCAACAGAAACGGAGACCACCAGCATGCCACCCCATGTCCAGGCGTCCTGGTGCTGGCTGCTCTTGACCACCGTCGACCAGAGCTGTGCCTTCAAGGCGTCCAACTGGGCCTTGGACGTGGGCAGGTTCTGCCGGGCACTGGACCACAGTTGCCAGTCCTTGCCGAGGATCTTGCTGGCCCGCGAGTCCTCCAGCCAGTAGACGTCCTCCAGGGAGGCCACCTCCACGGCCAAGAGTCGTTGGTAGTGATGCTGCAGCCGGTGCTCGCGCAGCCACTCGCGCAGGATCAGCTTCTGCTGCAGATGCAGTGCAGCACGTTGCAGTCGCTGCTCGTCCAATGGTGGCAGCTCTGGCAGGCGCTCAGGATCGCCGCAGCTTGACAGGGACGAGATGCCTGCAAGGAAAAAGGATATTTTTTAAACTCCAGTTGAAGGAAAAAAGAAAATAAACTTTATTATAAGGAAAAGTTGCATTCCTTTTAGCTTCGCGAATGGCTCTTAAGGTGAATCGTAAATAGTGGCCAACTTTTCTGGTAATTGAGTTTAATGGCCAAAGTTTTTGAAAACTTTTCCATCATCATGTCAACTGCCGCTGACTTTCCATCCAGCCACCAGAACCCAGCTACCAGCTGGCAGCCAATGGTGTCTAAAATAACAGGCCAACTAAGTAATTTGGCCCGGCGACTACGTCAATGTCATAATGGTCGTTGTTATAGTCCGCCCCTGCCCTCGACTCCCTCCTGCCGTTCACCTTGGGCCAACTACCAATCAATTATATTTCAATTTTGTATGACTTAACCAATGCCAGACCGAAAATAGCCTGGTAGAAGGGAACCCAATGCGTCGCCTGTCGCTTATCGTTGGCTAAAATCGGAACCGGAGGAGGAGTTGCCGCTATCACATTAACCCCCTAAATCCCCCGGCTCCACAAGGCTCAACCCTGCAGTGCCTCCACCTCAAAACCCCAACTCAATAAGGCGAAAAACTTTCATTCGCTATTATTGTATTTTACTTGGTGTAACTTTGACTTTTTTCCTGCCGCATAAAAAAATGAAGTGGGTGACAGGGCTGAAGGGCTAAAATGGTAAAAAATGGAGGTATAAATAAATAAAAAATAGGAGTAAGGACCAAGCTGGTGGTATGCTAAGTAACTACCAAGAAAAAGAAATAGAGTGGCAGTGAAGGAGAAAATAGAAAATTATTGTTAAAATATTCATGAAAAATATTGTTGGCTCTTTTCCCGAGAAAACTAACTTTAGTTTTCAAGAGAAAACTATGAATGAGGAGCTCAATTATTAAAGAAGTTTCCAGAGAATTCATAATCAAATATCCGTAGAATCCAATTCAAATCCCAACCAAAGAATATAGACCCTCGGGTCAAGTCAAAGAACCAGCTAGTTAGACCCGAGTTTAGACCAGAGCATTTAAGCCCAGTTCTCCCACTACGCACACCGCAAAATCCAGCTAAGCCAGAAGGAAAAACTGGCTTTCGTCCTGGGACTGACCGACCAGGCTAAACCACAAAACGAGTAACGTGCAAACGAACCCCAGACCAATTGTGGTTATTTTTTTAGGAGGTCCTTTTTTTGCTGGCCCCTCGGAGGTGGGGAAGAAAGTACAAATAATAGAATTTATCGTGGAGGAGGCCGATGGTTAGTGGCCAAGCAAATATGGTAGGGCAACGTTTGCGTGCCTGACATTCGAAAACGAATTCATTTCGTTACCAATTTCATTCGTTTTTTTTCCAAAGAGCACCTCCCTAGCAGTCCCTAGCAGGCTGTTCATATTTCGCGCGAAACGAACAACTTCCGTTTGATTTGAAAGCCCCGATATAAATACGTATATTTGTGTTGGCCGAAAAAATGCCTGAAAAGTGAAAAGTGCCAACAATGGAAAGTAACTTTTCCCATTTCTCGCCCTTCACTCTCATTTCTTTTCGGGCCCGTCCCTAATCTCGGGTTATTTGTATAATTAAAGTATTTCCATTGCATATTTAATGATGGCACTGGCAGTGGCAGTGGCAGTGCTGCAGCAAACGACCTTTGGCCCCTCTGGCTGAACAGGAATTACTAATCGGTTTTAATTAAGGCCTACAGAGCAGCGGATTACGCCAAGGGGTGATGCCGGAATGGGGCGAAAATATTGCTGGAAAAGTCAGCACACAAACAGAGGAAAACCAAAGGAAGCTCCGCTTCTTTTTCGCTAAATGAAAATGCCTTCTGAAGGTTAAATTCGCGTCGCGCAGAGACCATGATGAGGATTATCATGATGACGATGATGATATAGACGATGATAAATGTCAAGTGGGGGGGAGGTCGAAGGGCAGCTGGAATGAATGATGAGGCTGACTTTTGACAGTTGAAGCAGATATGATGTGGGGGAGGCAGGTAAATAAATGTCCTAAGTGACTAAGCCAACAGCCCGAAATAACACCCAAAAAGGACAAAGCTGCCAAAGAGGATAATTCCTTGATCAAAAGTTACTTAATGACTTGAAAATAAAAGTAATTAAAAGAGCTTAGTATATCGTAGATGGATTTTATTTGATAGGAGAAACGGATGAAAGTATAGGAATAAAAATATTATCAAGATTGTTTTGACATTTTTTCCTTTTTTTAGATAAAAGCCAAGTAGGCGTATACTTGATATTATTTTCAATTAAATATATATCAAAAGTCACCCTAGTATGAGGTATGAGAGGCAGCCTAAGGGTAAGTATTCTATTTTAAGCAAATAAATTAATAAAATTTTGAGAATATATGCAGGAAGTTATATTTAAGTATGAGGCAATAGTAGTACTAGTAGAAGTTCTTAATATTTTGTTATTTTATTAAAAAAATTTATAAAAAATAAATGCCCTTTGCTTTTAATAGCTTCAAGCTATTGTTTAAGGTATTCCTTACCCATTTTCTCACCAAAACACAACTTCATCTCCACCAAGGGAAGAGTCTTCCCCTTTGTTGACTTCAGAACACCACCAACTCTGATATTTGATATGATCATTTCGATTTCATAGTTGGTGATATCATCGGATTGGAAGCCCCGATAGGTGACATAGCTGCGGATCAGGATCAGGTCCGGTCTCAGTGCGGCATCTTGAGGTGTGCATTGCAGCTGACCCATGTGGATGGAAATGGGGGCCTTTTTGGTTTGGTTTTGTGTTAATTTTGACAAACAACTCAAAGGATGTACTTGCTGAATTTCAAATTTTGCCAAGTAATAAAGGAGACTTCTCCCTCCCCGTCTCTTAAGCTCCTAGGTTTGCTCATTAGGATGAGAACGAGAGCGACAGAATGGCAGAGTGCTAAGCAAATATTTGCCGAACGAGCCAACTTGGCCTATTAGCCAAAGGACCGGAAAGTTTATGGCCCTGTTCTTGGGGTATAAGAGTTTTAAAAAGTTTAAAATTCTTAAATAAAAAACTAAATCTTTATTTAAGGAATTTAACTTTAAAGAACATATTTTAACAATTTTGAAGCGTGATGTTTTCTCATCGTGTCTGCCTTTTTTTATGGCAAGCATGGAATGATTCTGCTGTTTATTGTTTGCTTTCCAACTGTCTGCTCGGCATTCTTCTCTTATCCTTATTTTCCCCTGAAATCCTTTCGCCTTTCACCTCTGTAGCCCCCTTACCTCCCCCGCCTGTCTGTGCTTTCCTCCATTGTTATTCCTGCATTGTTGTGCTCTTTGCTTTATCCTTTTTTTTATCGATTGTTCTCCAACATGGAGGCTGCAGAAATTACAATTTGAATGACATTCGATCGCACAGAGGAGCTGGTCCAGAGGATGGCGGTGCAGGGGTGCTGAAGGAGGAAGCCAAGCGATTAAGGTTGCCACAACAAAAGCCGCAATATTTTCCTTAGCCCCCCTTATGCCCCAATCCGCCAGCAACGCGCCACTGATGTTTCTGCTTTTGTGTTTGTTTACCAAAGTGAAAAATGATAAAATTGCCAGCTTCATCTTCCACCGAGGACATCCTGTGTGTGCCACTCGCCCACTCGTTTTCTACACTACACTAGAAGAAATTATACTTAGGGGTTAATTTTAAATCTTTAAACTATAGTTTAGGTCAAGTCCTTGCAGTGAAAAGGCTTGTAAACAAGGCCTATGTAATCATACCAATTTTCTTTATATTTTTTTTATGAATAGACATTTTCTCAGTGTCCTTTAAATCCTTTCATGGTTGAGAAATATTTCACCAGTTAAAGAAAACCGGGCGAGAGAACAATGTCCGCTGACTGCACTCGGCAGCTGCAACAAATTCATCCACAAATATTTCATCTGCTTACAATAATTTATGCTGCTTGTCTGCAACCGACAAGCAAGCTGGCCAGATCCAGCAAGTAGCAGAAAAGTGGCATATAAGCAAAAGTTGTGGGTGCGAGAAGTATTTGCATATTTAATTTAAAATAAAGCGTACTCTTTGCTTACTTACAGAGAAACACACTCATATATATGATATATATATATAAAAAACACTCACCCTGGTCCTGCCACACTTGCCTCAAGTGGCGGCATAAATTCAAATGCCACTTTGGCAACAGTCTCGGCAAATTACGTATACGCAGTGTAGGCACACAAACGACAACAGTCACCGAGCTCTGCTTCTCGCTTCCACTTCCTCTGTCTTTCTCCATCTCTGTTTCTCTGTGTGGGCTCTCGAGGGGTCTCATAGCCCTCATGAAGCCCCACCACCCTGCGCCCCTGACTGCTTTCAATATAAATTTCGCAATTTAGGGGAATCTGTAGCCAAAATACTATATGCGAACCAACTGCAGTTAGATGTGTGTTTGCGACGTGAAAGTGTTTATATATTTACACTATCTCCGACAAGCACACATATAGGTAGTATTTATTTGCTTTTGCTGGTCTTGCAATTCAAAGGATATTTTCCGATGGAGCAGTAAACGCTTCAAGTTTAGATTGTAGACCAAAATTCACAAAAATTAAATTTTCCATGCAATCGCCTTTGTCAATATACAGCGAATTCTCAAAAGAAATACCTTAAATGATTCGTAGAACGATTTTCATTCAAGAAGTTTTCTTATCTGAAAACAAACTACCCCTTGAAAAAACCGAGAATGGCATGAAATGCGCATTTTTACACTTCTGAAGGCTGTATTTTGGCCGTAACCTCTCCGATTCTTAGGCGGATTACATTGAATTAATTGTGGATAGATTCTACACGAATATGCGTTTAAATGTACAAACCAACATTTTTTTAAATTTTTTGTCAATTTTTCTGGGCATTTCCCTTGAAAAATCGGAAGAATGCCTGAAATGTGTATTTTTACACTTTCGAAGCCTTTTAATTAATTGTGGATTGATTTTTTATCAATTTTTGTTAAAATATACTATTTAATTTTTTAAAAGATTTTTTGTCTGATTTTCTGGGC